CTTAAAGGTGAAGGGCAGAAATGTGGTGGACAAATAAAACAGCTTTTTGCTGGGAGGGGCCTTTTAATACCCCATTCATTAATGGTGAGATGTGCAAACATGGAGGGCAAATAGCAAATTCCACTTGGAGGTGGTACCTTAAAAACTCTTGCTGAGATTTAAGACCCTCTTAAAGGTGAAAGAGACAAAAAACCAGCGCAAAGGCGGCCAGGCCTCTCCAACGACATGGGGCTTCAAGGCAACATGCACAACTGCGGCAAACAAAATCTTGGTGTGTCCCATTGCCACCGCTCCTTCAACACCTTCTTAAAGGGAAAAGTGCGTGGCTATGGCAAACAAAAAAACCTCCAGCACACAATGTCCCCGATTGTCCAACTAAACATGGTGCCTTTAATGTCCCCTTAAAGGTGAGGTGTGCAACTACGGCAGACAAAAATTAAGTCTCACCCAGCTGGCAAACCGGAGGCTGGGGAGGTACGAAGCCAGGGGGATTGTGGGAGTCTCCGCCTGGGAGCGGCTCTTAAAGGTTCAGCCACTGGCGGGTGGGGGAGGCCTCCTCTTAAAGGGCTGGTTCACAGCACGGAGAGGTCGTTGCAGGACTTGGAGCGTTGCTTGAAGAACCGGCCATTGCGCGGGACCAGGCTGGAGAGGAAGCGCTTGGCTTTCTTGGTGAGGCTCTCGCGGCGCCCGCCTGGGCCCCCACCTTGGCCCCCGTCCCCGGCTGGCCGGCGGTGGCGCAGGCGGATCTGGCGCACGGCCCCCTCGAATAGCTCCCGCGTGTTGTGGTGCAGCGCAGCCGACGTCTCGATGTGTTTGCAGCTCAGCATCACAGCCAGACTGCGGCCCTCTGGGGGGCGGGGCCAAGTGGCCACATTAGTGACCTGTGCCCAGCTGCCCCCCTCCCACCCTGGGGCTGAGCAGGGGTCAGTGGGGGGGTTCTATGGACTGGGGGTAGATTGTGGGGTCCCTAGGGATTGAGGGGCAGGGGGCTCAGGTTGTTTGGGGGGTGCATAGGAGGTTTTGGGGATCAGGTAGCCAGGGGGCAGGCTGGGGGCTCAGGAGATAGTCAGTCAGGGTGGGAATAGGTGTGATGGCAGTTTGGAGGGGTCTGGGGGGGGATCAGGGTAGTTTAGGGGCTAGGGAGGGTCATGCAGGTGTGTGGGTGGTTTGGGGGGGGCTCCAGGGGCTGGGGGGCTCAGGCAGGTGGTTGGGGCCTCCCTGGGGATAAGCTCCAGGTGCTTTAGAGGGGGCCCTGGGGGCTGGGGCTCAGGGTGATTTAGGGGCCCCCCTGGGGGGTCAGGGCAGGTTTCAGGGCACTTTAGGGGACCCACCGGGGGATGGGTGATCAGGGCAGTTTGGGCATCCTCTGGGGTCACTCACCCTCCAGCGAGACCTCTCGGGAGCGCGCCAGGTCGCTCTTGTTGCCCACCAGGATGACGGGCGGGTCGGGGTGGGGGCTCCCCTCCCGCAGGCGCAGGAGGGTCTGGGGGACGCGGCTGAAGCTGCGCCGGTCGGTCACCGAGAAGACAAGCAGGAAGGCGTCGCCTGTCTGCAGACACGACTCCTGCAGCCAGCTGCCCGCCTCGCCCTGGGGGGAGAGGTGCCCCCAGGACCCCCGTCAGCACCTGGAGAGCCGCATAGATCTGCATGCTTTAAGTGAGGCCCCGCCTTCCCCCAGCCAGAGCATTATTGGCTAGTTCATGTCATGCACCCTCCAGCCTCGTGCATTCATTTGCATACATCTGCATAAAATTTACATGCTACCCCAATTCCCTCCAATGATCCGCGTGTATTGGCCTGCATAGGCCCACGACCAACCCGGTCAAGCTTGCGTTAATTTACATATATTTGCATGCCTTCCACACACCCCAATTGCCTGCATCATTTGCATAAATCTACATGCAGAGCCCCTCACTCCAACCCCATGCGTCACGTGCACAGCTCTGCATATAATCAGCAAAGCAGGCACTGGATGTGAGGCCCCGCCCCCGGTCGTGCTGGGCCCCCCAGGTCCCACCTGGTCCCAGATGTCGTAGACGATCAAGGTGGTGTGCTCCTCGTCCACCGACAGGCGGCGCTCGTACGTGTCCGCTAGGGGGGGGAGCCACAATTGGGGGGGGCGCCAGTTCCCCAGAGCCACGGGGGGCTGGGGGGTGTGGGCCCCCCCTTACAGCCAGGGTCCCCCACCCCCGTGAGACAGGACAGCGCCCCTGGGGCAGGGGCCCCAACAAAGCCAGGGGACCCTAGTTCCCGCCTCTGCCCCCCACCCACTCCTGCGGCACTCACCGGGGTGCTCGTCCTCACGGGGGACTCCGTCCGGCAGCCCCCCGAAGATGCCGGCCAGAGCCGTCTTCCCCACGCCGCTCTCGCCAGCCAGCACCACGCGGTAGGGCCCCCCCAGAGACCCCCCCGGCGACTCGGGGGGCGAGTCCGGCTCCTCTACCGCTGCCTCCCGCCGCAGCTGGTGCTTGGAGGGCAGGGGCAGGCTGCCCCGGCGGGGCCCCCGGAGCCCCCCCAGCGGGGGCAGCGCCATGGGGGGGCTGGGGGCAGAGCTGGGGGGGCACAGGCGAGAGGGGAGATTAAATAAGTACAATAACCCCCTCCCTCAGCACCTCCCCTCCCCCCAGTACCCCCATCCCCAGCACCCCCAGTCCCCCATCAACGCCCCCAGCACCCCCAAAACCCCAACCCCCTCCCCCCAGCACTCCCAGGGCCCCTCGACTCCTCCAGCACCCCTAATCTCCCCTCGACTCCCCTCCCCCGAGCCCATCTCTCGATCCATCCCCCCGCCCCCCACCTGCTGCCCGGTCCGGTCCGGTCCGGGGGTCCCGGGGCTGGTTCCTGCCGCTGCCTCCGTCTCCCGCGCTCGCGTCTCTCCGGAGCCGGCCGGGAAGCGGCTCCCTTTAAATGCCCCCCCCGCCCAGCGGCGGGACGCCCCGCCCCCGTGAGGTCACGCGTGAGGGGGGCAGGGGACCCCCCTCAGCGACAGCCCTGGAGCCCTTGGGGGCCGCCGGACGCGGGGGCAGAGAGCTGGGAGGGGGTCGGTGGCCGGCTGATGCGGGAGGGCGGGACCGATGTTGGGGGGGTCATGGGAACTTGCTGGAGGGGGTATGCGGGGTGGGGGAGCCAAGGGGACTGGGGGGTCCGATGGGGCGGGGGGTCCCTTGCTGGCGGTGGGGGTATGGAGGGTGGGGGGACCGATGGGGCTGGGAGTTCCCTGGCTGGAGGGGGGGTTATTGGGGGGGGGTTCCCTGGCTGACGCGGGGGGGCATGGGGACTGGCTGGTGTGATTAGGTCCTGGGAAGGAAGAACTAGCCCCGTTGGTGGATTTCCTGGGACCCCCCGCGCCAGTCTGCAGCCCCCCCTGCACCTCCCCTCCCCCCAGTACCCCAATCCCCCCCTCCACAGCCCGCGGGGGCGCTCAGGAACCAGCCCCGCTGGGAGACTCGCTCCCCGCCCGCCCGCGCAGGCGGTAATTGAACCTCCCCGGCATTTTCCCGCTCGTGACTAATTGAATAATTTCCACCTTAGCAGCTAATGAGAGTGAGCCGCTAATGAGAGAGAGAGAGAGAGCATCCAACGTCTCCCCCTCCCCCTCCCCCTCCGCTCCATCCACCACCCCTCCCCTTATCCATCCCCCCACCCCTCTCTCAGCCCACACCCGCCCCTCTATCCATCTATCTATCTGGGGGCGGATGGGGCTAGATAGAGGGGGGTACGGGGATGGATGGGGGGGATGGATGGATGGATGGATAGATGGATGGATGGATGGGGGGTACGGGGATGGATGGATGGATGGATGGATGGATAGATGGATGGATGGATGGGGGGTACGGGGATGGATGGATGGGGGGGATGGATAGATGGGGGGGATGGGGAGAGACAGGTGCATGTAGAAGTAGGAGCTGAACCCAGGGCCCCCAGAGCTGAAGTGGCCCCTCGCTCTACGGGGGGGGCTCTCCTAGGTAGCAGCAGTAGAAGGCCCTTCGCTGTCACTCCGGACAGTGCGGCTCCTGGCCTGTTCTTGCTCATTAAATGCCAGTTATTCTGCTCAGAGGGGAGGAAAAACCCTCACCAGCTTTTCTTCTTCAGGGTGTTTTTCCTTGAATTCTTAGCAATAATTTGAACAGACAATAATAGGCCAAATTCTAACAAGAAATCGGCTTGGCCTGGAGCCTCCAGGCCAAATATACCAAAATAATCAGGAACCTCCACCTGCCGTCAAACCGCCGGCCTGGCAACCCCCGGGTCCCTCACACCCAGAGAAATCGCTGCAGGAGAGATGGCTCCAATTTTCCACCTGGCCATTACCTTTAAGAACTTTGTATTTTTTGACTGCCACAGAAGTATTTTGCGTGTGAATTCTCATCTTATTTTTTACATAGGCAGATGCTCAAATTTATTGTCTCTCTTTTTACAAAACGATGGACAAACGAGCTGGTTACAATTTTGCATTTTGGCCCTTACCTTTAATATTTGATTTTTTGACCGCCTCCTCAATTCTAATTTTGCAGCTATGTAGATTTTTAATCTTATTTTTCCAGTTATTTCTCATTTTTAAATAAAACAAGTTCTTCAGAAAAACCTGGTTAAATTCCCCCACCCCAGCCATTACCTTTAAGAGTATTTTATTTTTTGTCTGCCACACAAATTTTTGCACTGCCTCTCCTAGGCTGCATACACTGATGCACCCATTTATTGTGGTTTTTTTCTCTTTTTAAAAGTTCTCTACCAGAGCTGGTTACATTTTTCAGTCTCACCGTTGTATTTCGCAAGTAAGCTGTATGGTGAATCACGGCGGATTTTTATTTAATTTATGGGTACAGATAAACCCACTTGTTTCTTGCGTTTATTTTATTTGTTAATGGCCAGGCAAATACTTTACACTGACATCCCCCACCTCGATGTCCTGGGGCACAGATTTGTAACTTGATTTTCTCCCTAGTTCCTCTCTTTCAAATATAATTGCACAAAACAAACAAGCGAACACGCAAACCAAATAAAATGTCACTGCCAAAAGTTGGTGTATTTTTTTCTGATCCAAACTTTGCCTTTAAGAAGCTTATTTGAAACAACAACAACAAAAACCCAGCAACACAAAGCAGCTGGGTTGAGAATCAAATCCAGCTTTTGTAGCCATGGAACTTGTGAAAATTCAGCTTCCGATTTTGAATTTAAAAAAGTAACTACACAAAAAAAAACAACACCTCTCTCGCGGTAGCTGGTTAAATGCTTTTGCCATTGCCTTGAAAAATCAGTTTACAATACAAATATTTGGTGCCAAGACTCACAACTGAATTTCCCACATCCATAGACACACACATTTCTTTTCATCTTATTCCTCACCTTCTTCACAAAAACGACACATATATATATTAAAAATCTATCAAAAATGACCGACAATCTTTCAGATTTAGTCATTGCCTTTAGGTGTGTGTATATATATATATATATATAAACTGCCACATATATCTTTTGTCATTCAGAATCACTGTTCAATTTGTCAGCTGAATACAAATGCACATTGTCTCTTCTAAGTCATATTTTAAAAACCAATGACGTCAAACAATCTTTTGAGGAGGTAAAATGGTCATTACCTTTAAGAGTTTTCTTTTTTGACAGCCATGTAAATATTTTGCGTAGAGAATCCCAGCTACATAAACTCACATATTCATTTTCTGCCCATTTCTCATTTTTTTGTTTCAATCAGAACAACATTTTAGCAAACGGGGAGTAAAATGTTGCGGATTTTGCCCTTTGCCCATTGCCTTTAAAAGACCTTTTTTTTTAACCTGCGTACACACACAAGGTTTGCTGACCATAAAGATTAATTTATCAGGCACTGCAAAAAGAAATGTGCAAAGGTTCATTTTTCTAACCCAGGTAGGAAAAAATGATTGATTATAGAAAATTTCGACTCATAGAAGAGGAAAATAACTGCCAGCTGAGCCATTGCCTTTAAGAGTATTTTTTGACTGCCTTTTCTTTCCTCCACTAATAGGGTTCCAGCACCTTTAAGACGTTCTTTAGAACAGCCATACAAAGACTTTGAAAGGGCACATCCCCTTCAAGAGCCTTTTGTGACTGCCAGACAAATATTTTTCCTTCCGCTCAGATGCAGCCAGATGTGGCCTCTGGGGGTGGGCGCGATTGGTTCAACCCTGCCCGGCTGCCCTGCTCTCCGATTAGCCACCAGGTTCTTAAAGGCAATGTCTGACAAAGCTCTTCCCTTGAAGAGCTTTTTTGACGGGCAGGCAAATATTCTTTCGCTGCTCAGTTAGCATTAAGTCCTTAAAGGCAATGTGCAATGGCACCATCCTTTGTGGGCCAGTTTTTGACTGCCTCACAAATATTGCCACCCCAGTTGAACCCTGCTGGTGGCAGGGGTGGCTTAACCGCTCTCCCCGTTGGCCGCTGGGTTCTTCAGGGCGATGCGGCCCGGCGGGAGGCACTCAGGTGAGGAGGGGGTCATCGTCCTCGGCAGGGGGGCAGGGGCGGGACTCAGCCAGGGGCAGTAGCAGCACGTCGTCCTCCCCCACGGGGGAGGGTGGGAAGCTCGGAGGCTCCCCATGGCCCTCGGAGGAGGGGAAGAGGCACCCACGGAGGGCCCCCATCACCCCTCTGGGCAGCCGCTGGGGGCCTGCAGGGGGTGGGGCCGTGGGAGGCTCTGGCCCAGGGGGCGGGACTTTCTGTGGCAGGGGCGGGGCCTCATCGGGCCCGCCCGCCGCCCCCCCTTCCTCCTGGCTGGCAGTGTCCGGCGGGGGCTGGGCAGAGGGGGCAGCAGGGGGGCGGGCGGCAGGGGCGGAGCGGGGCAGCAGCCCCCAGCGGCGTAGGCGGCGCAGCAGACGGCGCAGGGGGCGGGGGGGCCGGCGGGCCCGGCGCCCCCCCACCGGCTCATGCTGGAGCAGGTGCAGCAGAGAGCGTAGATTCCCCAGCAGCGACGTCTGCAACGAGACAGGGGTGGAGGGGGGGTCAGCACCAGGGGGAGGGAGCCCCCCATGCTTGGGGATCCAGGAGTGGGGCTCAGGGGTCGGGTGGGGAGGATCAGGGGGTGTCATCTGCCCCAGGGTCTCTGTGGGGAAGCCGGGGGGGCTGTGGGAGGGGGTGTGGAGACCTAGGAGGCGGTCACCACCCTGGGGCTCTCAGTGGAGGGCACAGTGTGGGGTGGGTCGCTCGGCGGGGGCCAGGTCATGGGGGCTCAGGGTGCGGGGCTGGAGTGGGGGCCTCTCTCTGTGGAGACAGGGTTGTGGTGGGTGCCGTGAGGGGCTCAGAGGACGGGGGAGGGCTCAGTGGGGTGCAGGGTGGATGCGTCTCACCTGCCCGGGGCTGTCGGTGGGGAAGTCTTCGAGAGGTGGGACCAGCCCCTGTGCGATGAGCTGCCCGTAGGACGGTGGCGCCTCCTGCCGGACCAGCTGGGCGTCGCTGCGGGACAGGGGGGGGCGAAGAGGCTGCAGGGGTGGGGGAGAGCGTGAGATGGTGACCCCGGGGCTTTCCCCCCCACTGCCCCCCTTCCTCACAACTCCCCCCAGCCCTGGGTTCATCTGCCTCTGATCCCACCCCTCCATAGCCCCGCCCCCATCCACACGAGAGCTCCACCCCATCCCATAGCCCCGCCCATCCCATGGCCCCGCCCCCACCTGTACTCCTGGCTGCGCACGGCGTAGAGCCGGCAGGTGCAGCCCAGCGCGATGACCAGCAGGAGGCCGCAGACCAGGCTGCCGATGGCCGCGGCGGCCACCACCTTGCGGGGCAGGGCGTAGGGGCAGGCGGCCTCGTCGGAGGCGTCGGTGCAGTCGGGCTGCCCGTCGCAGCGCCAGGCCTCGTAGACGCAGCGCCCGTCTCCGCAGCGGAAGTTGCCGGGCTGGCAGCGCCAGCAGCCCCGCTCGTCCGCCCCGTCTGGGCACAGCGTCTGGTAGTTGCAGCGGTCGGCGGGCGCGTAGCAGGGGCCCCCAGCACCAGCCCGGCAGGGGTAGCTCCCCTCTGGGCAGCCTGGGCAGCGCTCCTCGTCTGCCCCATCTGGGCAGTGCCAGATGCCATCGCAGCGCTCCGCCTCGCCGTAGCACCGGGCCTCATCCCCCTGGCCGCAGGGCCGCTGCCAGGGCACGCAGAACCCACGCACGTGGTAGGTGGCGTTGAAGCCGTGGTCCCCCAGGCCCTGCCAGGCCACCCACGCCCGGCTGGAGGGCGACTCCACCACTACTGGTTGCCCATTGCTGGCCGCATCCACGCGCCGCAGAAGCCGTGGCTCAGCCGGCAGGTCTGGGTGGCCCTCGTAGACCTCCAGGGAGTCGTTCGGAGCCAGGTCCAGTGTGGTGAAGAGCACAGTGAGGGGGCGGCTATCGTGGGTCCAGGGCCCAGCGGCACCGGATGAGGGCACCAGCGGGGCCCCCAGGCCAGGCAGGTGGGGAGAAGACGCCATAGAAATCATTCAGGGTCAGGTTACAAGATGGGGGTGAGGCAGAGAGGAGGGGACCTGCTGGGATGAAGAGAGAGAGAGTGAAACAGGGACAGGGATGGACAGACTGCACGGGGATGGATGGGACAGTTGCATCGGGATGGGTACATGTGGGGATGGATGGTTGGGTCATGAGGGGATGGATGGTTGGATCGGTTTGTGTGGGGATGGATGGATAGACGGATGGTTCGGGGTGGGTGAGGACGGACGGATGGGTCGGGTTAGGTTGTGTGGGGATGGATGGTTGGGTCTGGGCGGGTGTGGTGAAATGGTTGGTTCGGGCCAGTGGAGATGGATGGATGGTCCAAGTTGCAGTGGGGGAGGTTTAGGTTGGATATTAGGAAAAACTTTTTCACTAAGAGGGTGGTGAAACACTGGAATGCGTTACCTAGGGAGGTGGTAGAATCTCCTTCCTTAGAGGTTTTTAAGGTCAGGCTTGACAAAGCCCTGGCTGGGATGATTTAACTGGGATTTGGTCCTGCTTCGAGCAGGGGGTTGGACTAGATGACCTTCTGGGGTCCCTTCCAACCCTTATATTCTATGATTCTATGATTCTATGGTTGGGTCTGGGCAGGTGGGGTTGGATGGTTGGTCGGGTTGTGTGGGGATGGATCAATGGTTGGGTTGGGTCGTGTGGGGATGGATCAATGGTTGGGTTGGGTCGTGTGGGGATGGATGGATGGTCAGGTTGTGGGGGACGGATGCATGCTTGCATTGGGTTGCATGGATGGCTGGGTTGTGTGGGGATGGACGGATGTTGGGTCGTGTGGGGATGGATGGGAGGGGATGGATGGTGAGGTCGGGTGGGGATGGACGGTTGGTCGGGGCTGGTGGGGATGGGGTTGGATGGTTGGTCAGGTCGGGATGGGGTTGGATGGATGGTCGGGTCTGGGCAGGTGGGATTGGATGGTTGGTCAGGGCTGGTGGGGATGGATGAATGGTTGGGTATGGGCGGGTGGGGATGGATGGATGGATGGGTCGGGGCAGGTGGGGTTGGATGGTTGGTCAGGGCTGGTGGGGATGGATGAATGGTTGGGTATGGGCGGGTGGGGATGGATGGATGGATGGTAGGGTCGGGTGGGGATGGATGGATGGATGGGTCGGGGCAGGTGGGGTTGCATGGTTGGTCGGGGCTGGTGGGGATGGGGTTGGATGGTTGGTCGGGGCTGGTGGGGATGGGGTTGGATGGTTGGTCGGGTCGGGATGGGGTTGGATGGATGGTCGGGTCTGGACAGGTGGGATTGGATGGTTGGTCGGGGCCGGTGGGGATGGATGAATGGTTGGGTATGGGTGGGTGGGGATGGATGGATGGATGGTAGGGTCGGGTGGGGATGGATGGGTCGGGGCAGGTGGGGTTGGATGGCTGGTCAGGGCTGGTGGGGATGGATGGATGGTTGGGTATGGGCGGGTGGGGATGGATGGATGGATGGTAGGGTCGGGGCAGGTGGGGTTGCATGGTTGGTCGGGGCCGGTGGGGATGGATGGATGGTTGGTCGGGGCCGGTGGGGATGGATGGATGGTTGGGTCGGGTCGGATAGGGATAAGTGGAAAGCGGGACATTGGGGTGGAGAGACAGACTGACGAGTTGCCCACCCCTCCCAGGTGCACCCCCTGCCCCATTCCCCAGCTGCGCCCCCACCTCTCTCGTAGCGGAGCTGGAAGCCCTCAGCCACCGTCCAGCTCCGCCAGTAGCTGAGGGTGACGTTGGTGCCCCTGTACTCCAGGGGGGGCGGGGAGCCGGGAGCCGCAGAGGGCCTGGTGGGGGTAGGAGTGAGCCCAGACGTAGAGCTTGGCCTCCCCGCACGCCAACTGGAACCGCTCGAACCTGCGGAGAGGAGGCGGGTGAGGGGTACGGGGCTTCTCCCCTCCAGGGGGCGCCAGCTCCAGGGTAGGGGGTGGGGTATGGGGCCTCTCCCCTCTGGGGCGCTGACTCCCATCTGGCCCCAGGGTCAGGGCGGGGAGGGAGGTTAATTGGGATAATTACTGGTTTTGCTCTTCTCTGGGGCAGAACAGGATGGCCGGTGGGGGGAGTGAGGAGAGGGCTGAGGGAGTGGGGGAGGAGGTGGGTGGCCGGGGGAGGACTGAGGGAGTGGGGCAGGGGGCTGAGGGGTCTCTCACCTGATGGTCACCACATCCTCCGGGCCCGCCAGGATGACCCAGGTGCACTTGCTGGGCAGGAGGCGGCCGTGCCGGGGGGGGAAGCTGCGGATCAGCCCCTGGCGCTCCCCCCGCACCTCCAGGGGTGCATGACAGGTGGCTAGGAAGGAACGGGGGGGTGCAGAGGTCAGCGATGGACCCCCCCCGTGCCCCCTCCCCTACACCCAGCCCCCCAATCACAGTGCTACCCCACCCAGTGACCCCAAATCCCCACCCTTCACCCTCCCCTTCTCCCTCCAGCCCCTGCACCCCAATCCCTACCCTTCCCCCTCCCCCCACCAGCCCCCCAACTGCTGTCCTTCCCCTACCCAAGCCCTGCACCCCAATCCCACTCTCTGTACCCCAGAGAACCCTCCTCTCACACTCAGCCCCCCCCCCCACTCACCCGAGTCTTTCTCTGTGTAGGAAGCAGCTTCTAGGGGGGAAAATAAACTGGGATAAGAAGAAAAAAGTGGGGGACCCAGAGCTGGGGGGCGTGCAGGGGGCTGCAGGTCGGGAGTGCGGGGCACCAACAGGGCTGGGGGTGGGTAGGGGCCAGCAGGGGCTGCAGGTCGGGAGTGCGGGGCACCGGGAGGGCTGGGGGGGCAGGGTTGTAGGTCGGAAGTGCGGGGCACTGGGAGGGCTGGGGGGGGAGGGGGCAGAGCCGGCAGGAGTTGTAGGTCGGGAGTGCGGGGCACCGGCAGGGCTGAGGGGGGCAGGGCTGGGGGGGGGCAGGGGCTGCAGGTCGGGAGTGCGGGGCACCGGCAGGGCTGGGGGGGGCAGGGGCTGCAGGTCGGGAGTGCGGGGCACCGGCATCTCTTACCCCAGACGAGTCCCAGCAGCAGGATGCAGGCGGCCCCCAGTGGTGACATTTTCAGGGTGGGGGGGTCCCGGTTTTCTCCTTTTGCCCCCCAGAGGATCCGGGGGTGGGGGAGGGTCGGTGGGCGGATTCCCCTCCCCCCTAACACCCGCACATCTTCCGCGCTCCCCGACTTCCCCCCGCCCGGCTCTGGAGGGCCCCGACCCCGCGACTTCCGTTCGGGGAGGGGGGACAGGGATTCGTGTGGGGGCCTTCACCCCCTCTCACAGTCGGGCTGGTTCCTTCCCTCCTTCCGGTCCCGCCCCGTCCCGCCCCGAGCCTAGAACCCCCCCGTCCGGTCCGGTCCGGTCCCGAGCCTAGAACCCCCCGCCCGTCGCGCGTCTCCTTCGCTGGTAACTTTGTTTCCGTCCTTCGCTTCCTGCCTTGCAACTTTCCGGGTCACGTGACCTCCTGCTTCCCCCCCCTTCGGGAGACTCCCCTTAACCCTCCCCTCGCCCAGGGACCCCTCATTCCGGGGGGGGGGCTAGGTGTGTGTACCGCAGTTGGGGTGGGGGAGGCGTGGCGCCTATAGGTCTGGGAAGAAGCTGCCTCCCTTCCCCCATTGCCAGTGATGCTCCTGGCCCTTTAACTCGCCCCCCCCGCACGCTCCTCCCCCTCGTGGGGCTGGGTATTGGGGTTCAAAGGTCTCAGTGCCCACCCCCCGCTCTGGCAGGGCGCTGCTGCGCCTTTAAGACCCTTGGGGGGGGGGGTCTCAGAATTGCGGGGCTCCCCGTGTGCACAATTTCCTGTTTACACGGACTCTCAACTCCTCGCTCGGCGCCCCCTAGTGGCCACTGAACAATGGCTGGAAATGTTCATAACTAACATTGCGGGGGGCAGGAATTGCGGTACCGGCCCTTTAGGAGCCCTAGTGTGGGAGGGGTCCCAGAATTGCGGTACCGGCCCTTTAAGAGCCCTGGTTTGGGAGGGGTCCCAGAATTGCGGTACCGGCCCTTTAAGAGTCCTGTTTTTTTTGAGGGGGGGTCCCAGAATTGCCCTTTAAGAACCTACTTCCCTCCCATCTCCATCCTACAGCCTCTGGCGCCACCTAGTGGGAGGAGGGGGAGGTGCGGAGAGGGGGTTCCCCCCTCCCTCCACGCCCCCCCATTCCCCACCCCCACTGGCTCTTATTCAACACCCCCACACACACTGTCTGTCCTGTCCTGCTGCTAAATAAAACAGCCAAGGTCCTTGACTTGGGGGGGGGGGGCGCTGGGAGCCAGCCAGGACTGGGAGGGGAGTGTGGGGTAGTGGTTGGGGTTGAGGGGGGCTGGGAGCCAGGACTCCTGGGTTCGCTGTCTGACCCCAGCTGGGGTCGAGGTCTCGCTTAGCGAAATCAGAGGAGGCTGAATCAGCAGCCACAGGATCAAAGAGCCAGAGGAACAAACCGATGGTGGGAAATGTGCTGATGAGAGAGACCCACATCCTGCCCCACAGCCCCCCCTCTCCTGCCCCAGCTCCCTCAGTCTGCCTGTCTTCAACCACCACCCACGTCTGCCTGGCTACTCCGTGAGCTCACCCCCCCGACACCCCTGCATCCACGCCCCCGACACCCCCTGATCTATCCCCCAGACACCGCTGCATCCAACCCCCCAGACACCTCCTGATCTATCCCCCCAGACACCCCCGGATCCACCCCCAGACACCCCTGCATCCACCCACCCGACACCCCCTGATCTATCCTCCAGACACCCCCGGATCCACCCCCAGACACCCCGGATCTATCCCCCTAGAAATCCCCTGATCTATCCCTCAGACATCCCTGGATCCACCCCCCAGAGACCCCCAGATCCATTCCCCCAGACCTCCCGAACTATCCCCCCCAGACACCCCGGATCTATCCCCCTAGACATCCCCGGATCTACACACCCAGATACCCCTGGATCCACCACTCCCACCCCGACATCCCCTGATCTATCCCCCCAGACGTCCCCGGATCCACCCCCAGACACCCCGGATCTATCCACCGAGACACCCCTGGATCCAACCCCTCAGACGCCCCCAGATCCATCTACCCAGTCATCCCGGATCCACCCCCAGATCCATCCCCCAGACCTCCCCCATCTATCCCCCCAGACACCCAGATCCACCCACCCAGACATCCCAGATCCATCCCCAGGTCTATCCCCCCAGCCCCCCATCTATTCCCCCAGACACCCTCGGATCCACCCCCACACACCCTGGATCTATCCACCAGATCTATCCACCCAGAGTCCCCTGATCTGTCCCCCCAGACACCCAGATCCACTCCCAGATCCATCCACCCAGACATCCCAGATCCACCCCCCAGATACCCCCTGATCTATTACACCAGACACCCCCGGATTCACCCCCCAGATACCCCAGGATTCACCCCCAGATCCATCCCCCAGACCCCCCATCTATCCCCCCAACACCCAGATCCACCCGCCCAGACATCCGAGATCCAACCCCAGACACCCCCAGATCTATCCCACCAGACGCTCCATCTATTCCCCCAGACACCCTCGGATCCACCCCCACACACTCCGGATCTATCCACCAGATCTATCCCCCCAGACACCCAGATCCACCCACCCAGACATCCCAGATCCACCCCCCAGATACCCCCTGATCTATCCCACCAGACACCCCCGGATTCACCCCCCAGATCCATCCCCCGACTGGATCTATCCCCCAGACACCCCCTGATCTCTCTTCCCAGACACCCCCCGATGTACCCCCCCAGACACCCCCCGATCCACCTCCCCAGCCAGCCCGGCTCGAGCTCTCCCGCCGCTCTCCTCTAGGTGGCTCCATGCACCACCGGTTCGCTCCCCACTCCCCCCTCGGCCGGTCCCTTCCCAGCCCCCCGCCCCGCGCCCTCTAATTGGAGCCAGGCGCTGCCCACGTCCCCAGTCCGGCGGGGAGGCGGCGAGGCGAGGGACCGGGACAGTCGCCGCGGAGGGAGGGACGGGAAGATGAGCCCCTCGCCGAGCCTGGTGCCCTCCCTGCTCTCTGCCAGCCTGGCGCTGAGCTCCCTGCTGCAGGGCGCCGCAGGGGGGCCCCAGCTTCAGCCCGGAGGTGAGTCCCGGCCGCCGGGCACCGCGCCGCGGGCCAAGCCGCTGGCGCCGGGCTCCCGCTCCTGCCCGGGCCGTCCCGCTCGCCTCCCCGCCCGCCCGGGTGCGCCGAGGGCCCGGCGCTGGGGACCGTCCCGATGCTGGGGGCCGGTCTCCCATCCGCCCGGAAAACCGAGGGGCCCCGCTTTTCACACGCGCCGCCTGGTCCCCGGCGCCCTCCGCAGCCTCGCCCGCGCCTCTCGTCTTCCTCTGGTGCCCCCCCGCCCTGCCCCTCTTTCCTAGCCGGGGGGCCCCACCTCCCCCTGCCCAGGTTCACAGTCCCCCCCTGCGGCGCTGGGCCAGGCGCCCCTTCCTGCCCCTCGCTTTCTCCCTCGGTTCTGCTCCGCACGCTCCCCTTTGCACCCCTCTGCCGCTTCCCCGCCCTCGCTGCCGCCCCGCTTCGTGCCGGGCTTCCCCGCCGCGCGGCGCGTCCCTCCCCCACGGCAAACTTCGGCTGCCAAAAACTTCCACATTCCTTCGCCGGGCTCCAGTCCTCGCCCCTCGGCCCTTCGCTGCGCCCTGCGCGGCCCGGTGCTTTGGCGGCCGGTTCCTTCGCCCCCTCCTCGCGCTTTGCGCCTGATCTCCAAGCCTGGCTGTTGGTTTCCATTCCTCCGCTTGCCAGGTTGTCCCATTCCCTCCTTTCTTTTGTTCCTCCCCTCCGCTTCCATTCGTTTATTTACACTCTTTTCCTATCCTTTCTCCCCTCCCCGTCCCAGGGACGCCACTTCTGTAAGGGGTGACCCCCAACCAATCTTCTTTCATGCCTCTGTTTCCCCCTTCCTTCCTTCCTACTTCTCCATCTGGGGGTTTCTCCTTCTCTCCTTCCTGAACTCCTTGATCTGGGCTTTTCCGCCATCCTTTCTTCTCCCTCCAGGGCCATCCCTGAAATGTAACTCCAGGAACCACTTCCCGCTCACTCATCTGTTCACCAGACTTTCTCATTCCCTTGCTTCCATTCCTTTCTTTGGGGATTTCCTCCTTCTACCCATTCCTTCTCTTCTTCCCCTTGTACTTATTTATTGAGCCATTTTCTCATTCTCTCATTTCACTAATGGTATTTCTCTGGCCCTTCTCTCCCACAGCTCCCTTCCCCTACCTGGGTCCCCCCACCTCCCCCTTCTCTCCTCCACTCCCTCCGTGTTTTCAGTCCTCCATTCTCGCTGGGCTGCCTGAGTCACATCTGGACCCACTCCGAAATATCTGGATGTCACCCAAGAAACTGGCATGTTCCTCTTTTGGCTGCCAGTTTCTTTCTTTCTTTCTTTCTTTCTTTCTTTCTTTCTTTCTTTCTTTCTTTCTTTCTTTCTTTCTTTCTTTCTTTCTTTCTTTCTTTCTTTCTTTCACCATGCACCTTATCTCTATCTATCTATCCCCATCCATCCCCTCTGTCATCCAATCTACATACACCCCATCTAATCTAATCTATCTATCTATCTACTCTCTCTCTCGTTCTCAGTCCGGAGGCTGTTCCAGTTACACAATCGTTCCTTGAAGGACCTCACCAAAGCCCTGGCCTCCCACCCCATTTCTGTGGCCAACACTTTCTTGGCTTCCACCAAACTCTCTGCCGGTTCTGCCCTCTCGCTCCTCCAAGCCAAGTCCGTCTCCTTCCTTCTCTTCCATGCTCCAGGAGGTGGGGGTGGGGGGAAGCTGGCTGGGATCCCCCGGAGGGTGGGGGGGAACTCGCCACCAAATCCCCAGCCACAAAGGCCTGCTTGTGTGGTGAAGGGAGAGGGAGTGGGGGAAGGGGGGACCGGGCCAGCGTGCCGCCTTTCCTGCCCCCGGCTTGGGAGAGAGACTGAAGACGCGAGCAAGGAGCCCGCGGGATAGGGGCCAAGGGCCGCGCACGCCTGCGGGCTCTGGAGAGCTCGGCATAGGGGCCAAGGGCTGCGCACGCCTGCGGGCTCTGGAGAGCTCGGCATAGGGGCCAAGGGCTGCGCACGCCTGCGGGCTCTGGAGAGCTCGGCATAGGGGCCAAGGGCTGCGCACGCCTGCGGGCTCTGGAGAGCTCGGCATAGGGGCCAAGGGCCGCGCACGCCTTTCCCCTTCCACCTTTTGGTGGGAAGAACGAACGAACCAGGCCCGGAAGAAACGAGTGCAGGGCCCCCAAATGGAAACGAGCTGAACCGAGACAAGGGCAGGGGAACTGGGTGACTCGAGCGCTGGAGGGTTGGCTGGGAAGAAGGAATGAACCAGGCCAGGGACAACCGCGTGTCGAGCAGGTGGGATCTGCCCGCCGGCGAGTGGGCGACACTTGTTTGTGTCTCGCTTGGAAGAGAAAATTTAGCCCCTGGGGGTGGGGGAGCGGAAGCAGGGGAGGTGGAGGGGCTGTATTTAGAGCTGGGGCGGGGGAGGGAAGAAAGGAAGCTGGAGGATAAATCAACTGGAGGCTTTGGGAGGTGAACAGGGTGGGGGAGGGGGGCGGCTTGGGTGAGGAATTGATCCAATAGGCACAATCCAGAGCACACTGGGCTAAGGGTCCCCCGACTTCCTGCCTCTGATGAACAGCCCTTATTCAATGACACCCCCCCGCCTCGCCAGCACTTTGGCGCCCCTCCCTCCCGACCCACAGCCCCTGCTGGCCCAGTCCTGTCCCTGCCCAGCCCTGCCGGTGCCCCTCCCTCCCGACCCACAGCCCCTGCTGGCCCAGTCCTGTCCCTGCCCAGCCCTGCCGGTGCCCCTCCCTCCCGACCCACAGCCCCTGCTGGCCCAGTCCTGTCCCTGCCCAGCCCTGCCGGTGCCCCTCCCTCCCGACCCACAGCCCCTGCTGGCGCAGTCCTGTCCCTGCCCAGCCCTGCCGGTGCCCCCTCCCTCCCGACCCACAGCCCCTGCTGGCGCAGTCCTGTCCCTGCCCAGCCCTGCCGGTGCCCCCTCCCTCCCGACCCACAGCCCCTGCTGGCGCAGTCCTGTCCCTGCCCAGCCCTGCCGGTGCCCCTCCCTCCCGACCCACAGCCCCTGCTGGCCCAGTCCTGTCCCTGCCCAGCCCTGCCGGTGCCCCTCCCTCCCGACCCACAGCCCCTGCTGGCCCAGCCTTGAGTCGCAGAGTACATGATGCCAGGGGTTGGGGGATGGGGGATGGGTGGGTGAGCTCTTGCATGGATTCAGGGCTGTGGGTGTGGTGGGTTATAGGGGGACAATGTCTGGGATGGGGTGGGTGTGTGGGGCATGGGGTTTAGGCATCACTATATGGGTGGGGTGGGGGTGAGGGGACGGAGTGATCAGTGAAGGGTATGTGTGGGGGTTGGTGTGGAGCAGATGGGGTCAGTGTGGGAGCTGGGGGCATGAGGGATAAGGAGGGCAGGTGGGGGTGTTTATGGAGGATGGAGGGCAGGTGTGTGTGAGCTGGGCATTGGGGGGCTGCTCAGGGGGAGGGAGGATGGGTGGTCGGTGTTGTGGGGGTCTGTGGGCCCCCTTGACTCTCTCATTCCCCAGGCCTGGCTGCAGCAGTACGGGTACCTCCCCCCCGGCGACTTGCGGACCCACACCCAGCGCTCGCCCCAGTCGCTCTCGGCTGCCATCAGCGCCATGCAGAGCTTCTACGGCCTGCGGGTCACTGGGACTGCAGACGCCGACACCATGAGGTGAGTCTCTCCACTGCCAAGCCCCAGGAGAGTCACCCCCATTGAGCCTACCGGGCTTTGAGTTCTAGCCCCACTAGGGGTCAGTGGGGGTTGGGTGCCAAGGGACGTTGGGTTCTAGCCCCACTAGGGGTCAATGGGGGTTGGGTGCCAAGGGACGTTGGGTTCTAGCCCCACTAGGGGTCAATGGGGGTTGGGTGCCAAGGGACGTTGGGTTCTAGCCCCACTAGGGGTCAGTGGAGGTTGGGGGCCAAGGGACGTTGGGTTCTAGCCGCACTAGGGGTCAGTGGGGGTTGGGTGCCAAGGGACATTGGGTTCTAGCTCCACTAGGGGTCAGTGGGGGTTGGGTGCCAAGAGACGTTGGGTTCTAGCCCCACTAGGGGTCAGTGGGGGTTGGGGGCCAAGGGACATTGGGTTCTAGCCCCACTAGGGGTCAGTGGGGGTTGGGTGCCAAGGGACGTTGGGTTCTAGCCCCACTAGCGGTCAATGGGGGTTGGGGGCCAAAGGACTTTGGGTTCTAGCCCCACTAGGGGTCAATGGGGGTTGGGTGCCAAGGGACGTTGGGTTCTAGCCCCACTAGGGGTCAATGGGGGTTGGGTGCCAAGGGACATTGGGTTCTAGCCCCACTAGGGGTCAATGGGGGTTGGGTGCCAAGGGACATTGGGCTCTAGCCCCACTAGGGGTCAGTGGGGGTTGGGGGCCAAGGGACGTTGGGTTCTAGCCCCACTAGGGGTCAATGGGGGTTGGGTGCCAAGGGACGTTGGGTTCTAGCCCCACTAGGGGTCAATGGGGGTTGGGTGCCAAGGGACATTGGGTTCTAGCCCCACTAGGGGTCACTGGGGGTTGGGTGCCAAGGGACGTTGGGTTCTAGCCCCACTAGGGGTCAATGGGGGTTGGGGGCCAAAGGACGTTGGGTTCTAGCCCCACTAGGGGTCAATGGGGGTTGGGGGCCAAGGGAGTTGGGTTCTAGCCCCACTAGGGGTCAGTGGGGGTTGGGGGCCAAGGGACGTTGGGTTCTAGCCCCACTAGGGGTCAGTGGGGGTTGGGCGCCAAGGGACGTTGGGTTCTAGCCCCACTAGGGGTCAATGGGGGTTGGGCGCCAAGGGACGTTGGGTTCTAGCCCCACTAGGGGTCACTGGGGGTTGGGCACCAAGGGACGTTGGGTTCTAGCCCCACTAGGGGTCAGTGGGGGTTGGGCACCAAGGGACGTTGGGTTCTAGCCCCACTAGGGGTCAGTGGGGGTTGGGCGCCAAGGGACGTTGGGTTCTAGCCCCACTAGGGGTCAGTGGGGGTTGGGCGCCAAGGGACGTTGGGTTCTAGCCCCACTAGGGGTCAATGGGGGTTGGGCGCCAAGGGACATTGGGTTCTAGCCCCACTAGGGGTCAGTGGGGGTTGGGTGCCAAGGGACATTGGGTTCTAGCCCCACTAGGGGTCAATGGGGGTTGGGTGCCAAGGGACATTGGGCTCTAGCCCCACTAGGGGTCAGTGGGGGTTGGGGGCCAAGGGACGTTGGGTTCTAGCCCCACTAGGGGTCAATGGGGGTTGGGTGCCAAGGGACATTGGGTTCTAGCCCCACTAGGGGTCAGTGGGGGTTGGGTGCCAAGGGACGTTGGGTTCTAGCCCCACTAGGGGTCAATGGGGGTTGGGGGCCAAAGGACGTTGGGTTCTAGCCCCACTAGGGGTCAATGGGGGTTGGGGGCCAAGGGACGTTGGGTTCTAGCCCCACTAGGGGTCAGTGGGGGTTGGGGGCCAAGGGACGTTGGGTTCTAGCCCCACTAGGGGTCAGTGGGGGTTGGGCGCCAAGGGACGTTGGGTTCTAGCCCCACTAGGGGTCAATGGGGGTTGGGCGCCAAGGGACGTTGGGTTCTAGCCCCACTAGGGGTCAGTGGGGGTTGGGCGCCAAGGGACGTTGGGTTCTAGCCCCACTAGGGGTCACTGGGGGTTGGGCGCCAAGGGACGTTGGGTTCTAGCCCCACTAGGTGTCAGTGGGGGTTGGGCGCCAAGGGACGTTGGGTTCTAGCCCCACTAGGGGTCAGTGGGGGTTGGGGGCCAAGGGATGTTGGGTTCTAGCCCCACTAGGGGTCAATGGGGGTTGGGGGCCAAGGGACGTTGGGTTCTAGCCCCACTAGGGGTCAATGGGGGTTGGGGGCCAAGGGACGTTGGGTTCTAGCCCCACTAGGGGTCAATGGGGGTTGGGTGCCAAGGGACGTTGGGTTCTAGCCCCACTAGGGGTCAATGGGGGTTGGGCACCAATGGATGTTGGGTTTTAGCCCCTTAGCGGTCAATCGGGGTTGCCTCTTTGGAAATTCCCGCCACTGAGAATCATGGGATTTTCCCAAACTGGTGCCCCCAATCCGAGCCCCAGGGTGCGTATGAAGCCAGGAACTGTGGCAGGATTTGGGAAGGGAGGAAATGGCCCGGGAGTTGGACCTTTGCTCCGTGCTGGGAGCTGGGAGTAACAGCAGGGCGACAAACCTGTGACGTCACAGGGGGAAGGGGCAGGACGCCTGGGTTCTATTCCCAACCCTACTCGTGACCTGGAATGTGCGGAGCACCCCGCACCAGGAGGGCCCTGAGCTCGGGCAATGGTCCCTGTGAAAGGAAATGGGCGGGGTGAGCCCGGCCACACGATGCTGAGAAGACGGGATCTCAAGCCTCACGCACACGAAAACCTGCCCCAAGTGCTGGGAGACTCTGCCCCCCGGGGCGAGGTCGAGTGGAGTCGCCTCTCCCCCTTGGCTTCCCCTTGCTCTCCGCTCCCTCAGGGCCATGCAGCGGCCCCGCTGCGGTGTCCCGGACAAGTTCGGGGCCGAGATCAAGGCCAACGTTCGGCGCAGACGCTATGCCATCCAGGGCCTGAAATGGGAGCACAACGAGATTACGTTCTGGTGAGAGGCCACGGGGGGTGGGGGGGGCTGGGGGCGTAAGGGGGTTGGAGGTGGGTGTGAAGGGGCAGGGAGTTGGGGGGCCATGGGGCTGAGGGGCCCATGGGGAAATGGGTGGGCTCTGGGGCTGCGGCAGGCAGGTTGGAGACAAAGGGGCCATTTTGGGGGAGATCTGTGAGGTAGTGATGGGGGGGCCATGGGGCAGTGAGGGAGCTGTGGGGCAGTGACAGGGGGCTGTGGGGAACCATGGGTCTGTGGGGCAGCGACAGGGCTGTGGGGGGCAGTGGGGTGGCTGGGGGGCAGTGAGAGGAGGTTGCAGGGAAGACAGTTGGGTGGCCGAAGGGCAGTGATGGGGGGCTGTGGGTGTGGGACAGTCGGGTGGCCATGAGACCATGCCGGGGGGGGGGGGGGGCACTGTGGAGCAGTGAAAGGGGCCAGGGGGCAGTTGGGGGCATGGGACAGTGACGGGGTGGGGGGGGCCGTACAGTGACCATGGGGCAGCAATGTGAGGGAGCCAGGCAGGTCTGACCCAGGCTCTCTCCCCCCACCCCCTGCCAGCATCCAGAATTACACGCCCAAGGTGGGTGAGGCGGCCACGTTCGAAGCCATCCGTCGGGCCTTTGGAGTGTGGGGGGCGGCCACGCCGCTGCGCTTCCGCGAGGTGCCCTACACCCATGTGCGCCAGGGCCGGGCGCCACAGGCCGACATCATGATCTTCTTCGCCGAGGGCTTCCACGGTGACAGCACCCCCTTTGACGGGGAGGGGGGCTTCCTGGCCCACGCCTACTTCCCCGGCCCCCACATCGGCGGTGACACCCACTTCGACTTGGCCGAGCCCTGGACCATCCGCAATGATGACCTCAATGGTAAGTGGGGGGCTGGCGAGCGGGTGGAGGGCTCGGGGGAAGGGAGACAGACTGGGTGTTGGGGGAGCGGCGGGAGAGGTCGTGGGGGGCTGGGAAGTGGGTGGAGGGCTCAGAGGGAAAGGAGAGGGCATAGGGGGTTCAGGGTAGGCAGGGGGACAGACTGGGTGTCGGGAGAGCAGCGGGAGAGGTCGTGGGGGGCTGGGAAGTGGGTGGAGGGCTCAGGGGGAAAGGAGAGGGCATAGGGGGTTCGGGGTAGGCAGGGGGACAGACAGGGTGTCGGGGGAACGGTGGGAGAGGTTATGGGGGCTGGGAGCGCGGCAAGAAGGGGGTGGGGGAGTCAACAGGACTTTCTCTTCCAGGGATGGAGGGAGGCGAGGGAGGGGAGCAGGGCAGGGAAGGAGACGCTGGGAAAGTCCCCTCCCCCAACTCATTGACTACGGGCTGACTATGGCGTCACTTCCCCTTTCCACATCGGTGGCAACCCCCCCAAATCCTCCCCTCTGGGGCCGCATGGGAACCGCTCCTGAGCCAGGCAGTCCTCTCGGGGCGGGATCATAGTCGGCACCTCCTAGAGGGGAAAGACCCCATGTCCCATTCCCTGCCCCCTGAGCCACACAGTCCCCTGCTTTGGGGCTGGATTGGGCCAGTGCCCCATTCCCTACCTCCAGCCAGTCCCCCACATGTCCCATTTCCAAGGGGTTTGTGGGAATTGAACATGCGGGACAGGGGGGATGATTTCACCTGTGCAGACGTGGTGGCGTCCCCATTCACAGGCAGACACAGCGGTGTCCCCATTCCCAGTTGGCCGTGGTGACATCCCTGCTACCAGGCGGACATGGTGTGTCCCCGGTCCTGGTGACATCCAGTTCTGGGGCGAATGTGGTGACGTCCCCGTTCCCAGGTGGATACGGTGAAGTCCCCGTTCCTGGGCGGCCGTGGTGACGTCCCCATCAGGCCGTGCCACATGCTGACGCTCCTGCTCCCCCAGGGAACGACATCTTCCTGGTGGCCGTGCACGAGCTGGGCCATGCGCTGGGGCTGGAGCATTCGAACGACCCCTCGGCCATCATGGCGCCCTTCTACCAGTGGATGGACACTGAGAACTTCGTGCTGCCGGACGATGACCTGCGTGGCATCCAGCAGCTCTACGGTGCGACCGTCCCCTGCCCTGAAACTGTAAACCCTGCCCATTGGCGAGGCATGCAGGAGCGTGTGACCACCCAACTTCTAACCCACCAACAGGGCACCTGCGGCTTCACAGTGCAGGGGGCCCTGCCCTTCTCTGGGGGTGTGACCCGCATCCTCACCCCTGACCTTAACCTTTAACTCCTTTGGGTGTGACACCGCCTCGCCCTTCATGCTGACATCCCAACCCCGGCCAGCAGCCCATAACTTCACCCCCGAACCTCACCCTGAAAGACAGGGCACCCACAGCCCCCAGCACTGGGTGCATGGGGCACAACACCTACCCCCACCCAGACTCCCTCATAGTCCCTGACCCCTCCCCTCACAGGTTGCCCCCATCCACGGGAACCCCAATCTACTCCGCTCTCCATTAACCCTTTGTGTCCCTTTGCCCAGGGAGCAAGTCGGGGGTCCCCACCAAGGCCCCCCCGGTGCCCCGCACCACGGCCAGGCCCCATGTGCCTGACGAGCCCAACAACCCCCCTTACGGTCCCAACATCTGCGACGGCAACTTTGACACCATTGCTGTCCTGCGTGGGGAGATGTTCGTCTTCAAGGTGTGTGTGGGTTCTGTGGGTCAGGAGTGAGGGGCACCAGCAGAGCTGGGAGGGGGCAGGGTTGGGCTGGCAGGGGTCTGTGGGTTGGGAGTGAGGGGCCCTGGCAGAGCTGGGGAGGGCCAGGGCTGGGCTAGCAGGGGCTGCAGGTCGGGAGTTAGGGGCACCAGCAGAACTGTGAATTTCTCTGGTCCCAGGAGCGCTGGTTCTGGCGGGTCCGGAATAACCGGGTCATGGACGGGTATCCACTCCCCATTGGCCAGTTCTGGGTCGGTCTCCCGGCATCAATCAGCACGGCCTATGAGAGGAAAGACGGGAAATTTGTCTTCTTCAAAGGTACCAGAATGCGGGGCCTTCTCCTGGGGGGAGGCAGGCTGGGGGTAGGGGATGGGGCCTTTCCCCCCAGGGCTGACCCTGCCCTCACGGTCTGCAGGTGACAAGCACTGGGTGTTTGATGAAGCCATGCTGCAGCCTGGGTACCCCAAACCTCTCCGGGAGCTGGGCCGGGGGCTCCCCACTGATCGCATCGATGCTGCCCTCTTCTGGATGCCCAGCGGGAAAACCTACTTCTTCCGGGGCAACAAGTCAGTGCGAGTCGTCCCCCATGCAACCCCTTCACTGGGACTCCCTGGGGTCCACCTGCACTGTCAAAGCATGCCCCGCTGAGACCCCCCTCTCTGTGCCCTGGGGTCCCCCTGTGCTGTCAGTGCCCCCCAGAGCATCCCCCACTGGGAACCCCACTCCCCAATCCAGGGTCCCCCTGGGCTGTCAGTGCCCTCCCAGAGAGCCACCCTCTGGGACCCCCCACTCCTCACCCCGGGGTCCCCCGTGCTGTCAGCACCCCCCAGAGATTCCCTCCACTGGGACCCTGACCAATGGTCCCTCCAATTTTTGACGGGCTGTGTGCGCAAAAAATTTCTTCTGTGCAAATTGTGCGCGCGGTGTGTCACCGTGTGTGCGGGGTTTCGGATCTGTGTGCGCGTGCCCAGCTCAGAGGGAACAGTGACCTCCACCCTGGCATCCCCCTGTGCTGTCAGAGCCTCCCAGAGATCCCCCCACTGGGACCCCCCACTCCCCATCCTGGGGTCCCCCTGTGCTGTTAGCGCCCCTCCAGAGAGCCCCCCGCTGGGACCCCCCACTCCCCATCCTGGGGTCCCCCTGTGCTGTTAGCGCCCCTCCAGAGATCCCCCCGCTGGGACCCCCCACTCCCCATCCTGGGGTCCCCCTGTGCTGTTAGCGCCCCTCCAGAGAGCCCCCCGCTGGGATCCCTCCCTTCATTGTTAGCCCCCCTTCATTGTCCCCTCCCCCGCAGATATTACCGTTTCAATGAGGAGAGCCGCTCAGTGGATGCCGAGTACCCCAAGAATGTCGCCGTCTGGGAGGGGATTCCTGAGTCACCCCGTGGGGCCTTCATGGGCAGTGATGAAGGTATGGCGGGGACGTGGGGGACAAAGGGGGGAGAGCGCTTCGGCCGAGCCCTACCTGGCTGGGACATCTGTGGGGAGGCATGGGGAAAGCCCGGGGTGATGTGGGGAGGCGAGTGGTGGGACTTTTGGGCCGTGGGGTCCCCACCCAGGCTCTGACCTCACCAGGAGGGTCGATAGGGCTCGGGGCAGCGGTGGGGGAGGGACTTTGAGGGACACGGCTGATTAGCCTCTGCTTTATTCCCCTCTTCCCGCCACTCCTCACCCATCCCATCCCATTCCGGTCCCCCCGTCCATCTCCTCCCCTGTCTGGTCCTGTGTCCATCTCCTCCTTGCTTGACTCTGTGTCTGTATTGTCTTCTGACGCATCTGGCTGCGTATCCATCCGTCCGTCCTCCTCCCTGTCTGGCCTGTGTCCGTCCGCCCCTCTCTTCCCCTGTCCATCTGTCTCTCTCCATCTCTCTCTCTGTCCTCTTCTCCCTGTGTCCGTATGTCCGTCTCCTCCCGCCTGTCTATCCCCGTTCCGACCGTCTCCTCCCGTCCGCGTGTCTCTTCGCCCCGCTCCCCCCCCGGCTACGCAGCCTTCACCTATTTCTACAAGGGCGGCCGCTACTGGAAGTTCAACAACCAGCAGCTGCGGGTGGAACCGGGCTACCCCAAGTCGGCGCTGCGGGACTGGCTAGGCTGCAGGGGCGGCCGGCGCGAGGACGAAGAGCGGGAGGAGACCGAGGTCATTGTCATCGAGGTGGACGAGGCGGGAGGCGGGGCGGTGGACCTGGCTGCCGTGGTGCTCCCCGTCATGTTGCTGCTCTGCGCCCTGGCGCTGGGTGCCGCCGTCCTGGTCTTCAAACGCCGCGGGACCCCCAAGCGGCTGCTGCACTGCCAGCGCTCCCTGCTGGACAAGGTGTGAGGGGTGGGGCTCCCCAGCCCTGCCCGCCTCCCTGGCCCCACCCCCTGCTGGACAAGGTGGGGGGCGGGGTTCCCCTGGCTCCTCCCCAGCTCCGCCCCCCTGCTGCACAGCCAGCGCTCCCTGCTGGACAAGGTGTGAGAGGCGGGGCTTCTCTCTGGCTCCTCCCCTTAAGCTCCTCCCCTTCCCTGCTGGACAAGATGTGAAGGGTGGGGGCTTCCCCTTGGCACCTCCTCCTTTCTGACATTCCTTTCTCCCCCACCCCCGAAGCGTGCTGAGCGCGCTCAGTAGCCTGCGGGGTGACCCCTGACCCCCTCCTCTTGTGTAACCATGTGTCCTTTGACCTCCTGGGAAAGGTCAAAGTTCAGGTCCTTCAGCTTCCCCTATGACCTCTCAACTTTCACCTCACCAGAGGGGAAGCCAATGGGAGACAGCAGTGTGATTGCCTCCCCAAAGGTCATGCTGGCTCCTCCCCCAAGTCTTGGGCTCATGACCTAGCCAATCAGCTTGGCTCTATTTCCCCTGTTGGTTGGGTTGGGTTGGGCTGAATCTCCAATTGGTCTGTGTACAAAGTTGGGGGCAGGGCCATCTGTGGAATGGAGGACCTTGGTTGGCCCTCAGGTACTTTAGACAGGGCCTTGGGAACCTAGGGCTGGAGCCACAGAGGGGGCGGGGCCATAAGCACCATGGGGGTGGAGCTAGTAAAAGAGGGATGGCATTTGGCTGAAGGGGGCAGGGCTTTAGCATTAAATGGCCGGGTCTATGCAGATAAGGGGGCTTTGCATTCCAGTGGGCTGGGCTACACAGATGAGGGGGCTTTGCATTCTAGTGGGTGGGTCTATGCAAACAAGGGGACTTTACATTACAGTGGGCGGGGCTATGCAGATGACGGTTGCCATGAAGTACAATGGGCAGAGCTAGGTCAAACCAAGGTCAAACCCAGGGTGGGGCTAGAGGAGCAGGGGATGATGGGAAAACAGGCAGGGTGCTCATGGGGCAGCATGATGTATTTGGGGGCAGAGCCAAAGGAAGTGAGTGGGGCCTTATTTTGCCCCCACTTTCCTGCAGGGCCACAAACAGGGCGGCAGGGAATCTTGCACCCCCCCCATCCTGACTAATAGGGGACCACAGCCCAGTAGGGGTCACCGAGGTTTCAGAGACCATCCCATAGAATCTGCCTAGGAAAGAGTCCCTGTGGGGGGTAGGGACCATGGCTGGATCCAGTTTGGGATGAATGGGGCAGATGGGGGGCTGGTTAGGGGGTGCACTGTGGGCCCAGTTTGGGGGTATATGGGCTGGTTCAGTGGAGCAAGGGTCAGGTTTAGGGGTCCCCTCCTCCTTCCTCTCCAGTGTTGGGGAGGGGTCTCATTGGGGGATTTTTGTTTGGGTTTTTTTTAAATGTATAATTTTTGTAATAAAAAACTTAATTATTGTATAGAACAAAAGGCAATTAACTAAAATCAGTGTGTAAGCGGGGGAGGGGGTGGTACAGGGGGATGCCCCTCAATTCCCGCTGGCCGGGACAAGGGGCCTGCTTTGCCCCGTACCCGCTTCGCAGGGATTTTCACCCGGGTGTTTTGAAACCGTCGGATTAAAGTGCTTTCTGGGGGGAGGGTTGTTTTTTGTCTCTCTGGGTATTTTTCAATGTATTATTGTTATTAATTAATATTATTTTGCTATTGAGTCAGCGCGTTTCTGGGGACATCGTCTCAGTTGAATTGTTGGGCTTTTTATTAACGTGGCCGTGGGTTTTAGCAGGTATCGCTCGGGGAACGTACGTGCCATGAAAACGCCCAGAGATTTCGGCTGCAGATATCACTCTTTGTAATAAACCCCCCTTTCTGAGGATTTATTATGATTTTGCTCTTAATATTCACCACCGATTGCTGGGGAAAGTGTATAAATCGTGCGGGTAATTTCTGTCGGGCCGGCCAGCACAGTGGTTACTCTTCCATGACAGTAAGAACCCAGGGCAATTTGAATGAAATCCCAGGAATTGGGGTTGTTTGAACTTTCGGGGTGTGTGGGGGGGTATTAGCAATTTTCCCTATTTTTAAACCTCTAGCGTCTGGGGAAATTGAATAAAACTGGCAGCTGGTTTGCAGAGGCTTTTATTAGCAATTATTGGGCCATTAATCATTAACGGCTGTTATTAAAAGCCCCAGGACATTTTAACTATCTTCAGCAGGGAACTGGAATTAACTCATTAACCCCCAACTGCTGCATCCAAAATGCTGGTGTGACTGTTAAAAATGTCCCAGGAAATTACTGGCATTTGTGTTGGCTCTTAAGAATCAATATCCGTCCTATCGCGCCAGCGGCGGGGCCTTTCCTGGCTATTATTTCCAGATGGTCGGTTTGATGAAACCCAAGAGCGGGCACATTTAAGAAACAATCCACGTTTGAATGGCTAAATAAATGGGGATTTTCAGATCCTGCTCTCACTCCTCAAGAGACACCCCCATTTTCTAGGGACAATTCAGGCCTTTCTGCTCCTCTCTTGGGTGTCCTGCAGTTTCTTTGAGATATTTGTTATTAGTTGCAAAATCCTAATAACAAAGAAGTCATTTCCCAGGGGGATGGGGACTGAAAACGCCCAGTTCTGTTCTTGATCTGAGGAAAATCAATCTGAATAAATTGTAAGTCAAATTATCCAGAAATTCACCTGGTTTTGGTGTGATCTCGCCATCTCCAGGGTGGAAACAACAAAAGTGCAGGGATTTGATGGTTCAATTGTCCAGAGATTTCAGAATTATTCTGTCCCGCCTGGCAATGAAAACCCTGTGGGAGTTTCATACACAGCCGGATTTCTACACAATGTTGTGGTTTTATGTTATGATCTTCCTTGACTTACATCAGCGTTTTCCTGGGTACTGAATTACGACATTGCAGTTTTTCTTCCTCTTTCGCTGTTAGAAATAAACAAACCCCAGTTTTGGGAAGAATTGGATACACTGGGGGATTCTCAATGCGTCCTTCCAGAATCTCTCTCCTTGTAACACAAACCTGGCTCCGGGGCCACTGGAAACATTTCCAGGGTCTTGTGTTTTCAAGTTGTTTGTTTCATTTGAAGGGATTTTTTTGGTTCATGTTGGCAAGCAGCTTTGGAGGAGAAAATTAGCCAAAAAATGGGGATTTGGGGACATTTGTCAGGGGATGTTTTGGTTTTTTTTTTTTTAAGAAAAATCAAAATGAATAAAAAGTGATTTTTTTTTTTTGCAAATGAATTGAGTGCGTTTTCTAAAGGGTGAAGACAGAGGGGCAGTGGTAGGGCTGGGGGGATCCCAGGGCCGGGCTAGCAGCGGCTGTGGGTCGGGAGTGAGGGGCACCGGCAGGGCTGGGCGAGCAGGGGGCTGCAGGTCAGGATTGAGGGGCACTGGCAGGGCTGGGCTAGCAGGGGGCTGCAGGTCGGAGGAGTGAGAGGCACCAGCAGAGCTGTGGGGGGCTGAGTCACCAAACCCACGGCTTGTGGCCCAGACACCGTGACGTGGGTCTAACCGCGATTTCCCCTATTGCAATCTCCTGACGGATCCAAAAAGCCAGAAATCCCCGTCCCGCATCATCCTGCCGGCGCAGTACACAACAAACGGGGGTGGGGGCCGGCGGGGGCTCCAGGGCTGGAAACGGGGGGGGCCCAGCAAGGGGCACTGTCTTCCCTCCCCCCAGCCCTGGCTGCCATCCCCCAGTCCCGTGTGCCGGGCGCGGCGCCCACACGATGAAGTCAGACCAGCTGCTGTCGTGGCTGCACATCTGGAAGCAATTACAGCTGTTGGGGGAGGGGAGGGGGGAGTGCCTGGATTGCAAAACAGCCAAGTCTTCAAGGGGGGGGAGGGAAAATCCACCCCCCCACCCCGCACACACCAGCCACGAAACTCCAGCTGGCCCAAGTCACAGCCTCATGACTCGCCTGTGAAGAAACACTCGGGAGACAGAGAAATGGGGAAAAACAACACACAACAACCAACAGCAGGGACTGTGGGTCGGGAGTGAGGGGCACCAGCAGAGCCGGCAGGGGGCACGGCTGGGGGGGCAGAGGCTGCGGGTCGGGAGTGAGGGGCACCGGCAGGATGGGGGGGGGAAGGAAGGAGACTCTTCAGTCTCTGTTGCTTCCTCCAGAAGCAGAGCTCACATCCTGCGGGCGGGGGGGGGCGGCTGCTGGGGGCACTGCGGGGGGGCGCTCCAGGGGGGTCAGGGAAGGAGGAGGTTGTTACCTGATGAGTTCACCCAGGTTCCCAGCCCCACTCCCCCCGGTCTAACCAGTAGAGAACCAGGCGTCCTGGCCGGGCGCGGAAAGCAGTCCCAGAGACGGTCGCTGGGGGCGCAGGGATTTATTGGGGGGGGCTGCCCCGACGCAGGGCGGCCCCCTTGGGCTGCAGCTGGTTCTGTCTCTTGCTTTCCTTGGCCTCCTGCTGCTGGACCTGCCAGCGCTGCAGGCCTCGCTCCATCTCCTGGTCCAGCATGGCCACGCGCCGCTGGGGAGAGAGAGATGGGTGAGGGGGGCCCAGAGAACCCAGGAGTCCTGGCTCCCAGCCCGAGAGCAACGCCAGGGGATCCCAGCCCCACTGGGCTAGTCACCAGCTCCCACTCCCCTCCCAGAGCTGGGGAGAGAACCCAGGAGTCCGGGCTCCCAGCCCCCCTGCTCCAATCACCAGCCCCCACTCCCCGCCCAGAGCCAGAGAGAGAACCCAGGAGTCCGGGCTCCCAGCCCCTGGACCCCCCCAGCCTCCCACTCACCGCAAAGGCCTCGTCTTCCTGCCGCCGGCGGGTCTGGCCCTTCCACAGGGGGGCGGGGCGCCCGTCTGGGGAGATCCGAGAAGTCAGTGAACCCCATTGCCCCATCATGGAACCCAGGAGTCCGAGCTCCCGTCCCAGCCCCCGCTCCTCCCAGCCCCTGGAGAGAACCCAGGCGTCCAGGGAGGCTCGGTGGTAACAGAGGAAGATTCTCACCTACAAAGGACCAGTCAGGTAGATCCCGGAGAGGCCCGTAGCCGGCCGAGCTGGGGGCGAGTCCCTGCCTGGGGTGAAGGGAAAGGGGGTCACAATGAGCCCACAGCCCCCCGCCCCCTCCCGGTGCCCCCCGCTCCCGACCCGCAGCCTCCCGCCGGTGCCCCCCGCTCCCGACCCGCAGCCCCCCGCCCCCTCCCGGTGCCCCCCGCCCCCGACCCGCAGCCCCCCGCCCCCGACCCGCAGCCCGCCGGTGCCCCCCGCTCCCGACCCGCAGCCCCCCGCCCCCTCCCGGTGTCCCCTGCCCCCGACCCACACCCCCCTCCCGGTGCCCCCCGCTCCCGACCCGCAGCCCCCTGCCCCCTCCCGGTGCCCCCCGCTCCCGACCCGCAGCCCCCTGCCCCCTCCCGGTGCCCCCCGCTCCCGACCCGCAGCCCCCTGCCCCCTCCCGGTGCCCCCTGCTCCCGACCCGCAGCCCCCTGCCCCCCGACCCGCAGCCCCCTGCCGGTGCCCCCCGCTCCCGACCCGCAGCCCCCTCCCGGTGCCCCCCGCTCCCGACCCGCAGCCCCCTGCCCATGCCCCCCGCTCCCGACCCGCAGCCCCACTCACTGGGCTCTCCATTGCCCCACGGCCGGGCGGGCGGCGCCGCAGTGAATGTGCCGGGGGGCTGCGGCCAGGCGAGGCGCTGCGGGGGGGGGGAAAGAGGGGTGTCAGTGAGATATGGGGGCTCCCCAATTGCCAACCTGGGAATCCCCTCCCCCCACATCGCCCGCGCCCCGTTGATCTGACCCCGCCCCCACGCTAGATCTCCCCACATTCCCGTACCCAGCCTCCGGCCCAGGAGCGCTGCCATTTTCGGAAATGGGACAGGAAGTAGCGCTGGGACCATGTGGGAGGAATTTATGAAGTCTGTACGGCAGGGAGGATACAGGCGCCGCCATGTTAGAAATGGGAGCGCCCAAAGGGCGGCGCCATGTTCAGAATGGGAAACGTGGCATCGGCCATATTGGTGAAGTGGTCCGCCATTTTTGGCGTGGGAGCCGCCATGTTGGTTTGAAGGGAGATAGGCGCCGCCATGGTGGACACACAGGCTATGGGAACGGTATGGAAAGCGGGTTTGCAGACCATTTTGGCACAAACTCGCAGGAGGGCGCCATCTTCCGGCCAGATATTGTGTATTAACCACCTTGAACATGGAATTAATGGGGGTCGCCATCTTGAATAGCCAAAGGCTGTGAGCCGCCATGTTGGTGAGGAAAATACAGGCAGCGCCATCTTGGTTACGGAACTACATGGCGTCGCTATATTTGGGAAGGAATTTAAAGGGGATAGCATCTTTGATGGAATTGTATAATTAGTTTGCTTTAACGGGCGCAGCCATCTTGATTTAGACAGTGGGCCTCCATTTTTTTTAAGGACAGTGATAGGCGCAGCCATTTTTGGGGAAGGGATTCATAGGGGCCGCCATATTGGTGAAGGATATTGTAGGGGCTGCCATGTTCGGACCGGAAATGATCGTAGCCGTCACCGTGGAAAGGCATTTTTTACCGTCGCCATCTTGCTAAAGGAAATTAATGGGCGCCGCCATCTTGTACCATATGTGGGGAAGGCATCCACTGGGCGCGGCCATATTGGCTCGTTCCTGGCCCTGCAGTTTTCGCCGTCTTGAAAGTGTATCCACGGGAACCCAGAAGAGTCAATTCGCGGACTCTCCTTCCCGTCCCCCCGAGATGAAGTGAGTTCTGCCCAGTCTCAGCCTGGGCTCAGAGCCCGGACGCCGGGGTTCCTGCCGGGTGGATCCAGTGCGTAGGGCTCTGAGACGGCAGACTGTGACTAGGGTGGACACGAACTGTGGGCCTCATGAACATGCAGCAGTTTCCAGCAGGCAGGATTTCAGTTAACCTGTGGAACTCACTGCCAGGGGATGGGCTGAGGTCAGAAGTAGAAGGGGGTTTGACACACAAGGAGCCACGTTCCTGGAAGCCAGGTCCAGCGACGGCCATTGGCCAAGCTAGTCAGGGACGCAGCCCCCTGCGCTAGGTGGCCCCAGAGCTCGGGGTGAATCCCTGGATAATTGCCCTGGTCTGTTGGCAGCCTGGAGCCGGGGCTGGCTGGGCCGTTGCTCTGACCCTGCCTGGCCATTCTTTGGTTCTCTGTCCAGTATCCCTGAATGCCTCGGTCCCTTTTCTGCCCCCTTCCCATTCCCTGTGAGTGGGGAGGGGGCAGGGCAAAGTCAGGGTCAGAGGTCACATAATTAATAGTTTGACTCATTGGTTATTAACTTTTGGCTAATTATTAATGAGGACGCCAATGAGCCTCACAGGCCTGGACTCCTGGGTTCGATCCCCAGCTATGGGTGCAAATGTCCCCATTGCATGTAGATACTGTCAGGGGGGGAAGCTTGCAGCATGGGGGCACTGTTGGAGGAGGCAGCTCACAGCGTGTGGGGTCACTGTCAGGGAAATTCACAGCTTGGGGGGCAATGTCAAGGAAGCTCGCAGTGAGGGGGAAGCTCGCAGCATGGGGGCACTGTCAGGGAAGCTCACAGCATGGGTGGGGGGAAGCTCACAGTGGTGGGGCACTGTTGGAGGAGGAAGCTCGCAGCATGGGGGCACTGTCAGGGAAGCTCACAGTGGGTGCAGCTTGCAGTATGGGGGCATTGTCAGGGAAGCTCGCAGCAGGCGCGGGGGAAGCTCGCAGCACTTATCTCCCCTGTCACGCTGCTGGCTCCCTTCCAGGGACCTTGGACCCGGCCCAGGGCCCAGCCCCCCCTTGTCAAGTTAAAGTCTCTGCCCCTCCCGGCTCTTCCTCTTTCTGTGAGGGGACGGAGGGGAACGTGCCAGGAGCGGTGAGTGTCTGTGCAGAGCCCTGGGGCCTCGCCTCCCGCCCCCGCAGAGCTGGGAGAGAACCCAGGAGTCCTGGCTTCTAGCCCCACTGCTCTACCCACTAGCCCCCACTCCGCTCACAGAGCTGGGGAAGAGAACCCAGGAGTCCGGGCTCCCAGCCCCCTGCTCTAACGCACTAGCCCCCCCGTTTCCCCTCTCCCCTATCTCCCCGCTGGGGGCTGTCTGATGAGATCGGCGCCCCCTAGAGGGGAAAGGCCCCATGTCCCATCCTGCGCCCCCCCACCCTAACCCCTTCTCTCCCCTCTGCAGCCATGGCGCCCACCCCGCACTACGCCCCGGCCCCGCCGCAGGAGCCCGCCAGCCCCCCGGAGCCCCCCGTCAAGCTGCAGCGGGAGATCTCGCTGCTGAGCGGCATCTGCCTCATCGTGGGCAACATGATCGGGTCGGGCATCTTCGTCTCGCCCAAGGGCGTGCTCCTGCACAGCGCCTCCTATGGGCTGGCGCTGGCCGTGTGGGCCGTGGGCGGCCTCTTCTCCGTCTTCGGGGCGCTGTGCTACGCCGAGCTGGGCACCACCGTCACCAAGTCGGGGGCCAGCTATGCCTACATCCTGGAGGCCTTCGGGGGGCTGGCGGCCTTCGTCCGCCTCTGGGCCTCCCTCCTCATCATCGAGCCCACCAGCCAGGCCGTCATCGCCCTCACCTTCGCCAGCTACATGGTGCAGCCCGTCTTCCCCAGCTGCCCGGGGCCCTACGCCGCCCACCGCCTGCTGGCCGCCGTCTGCATCTGTGAGCGGGGGCTGGGGGCCGCAGGGAGGGGCACCGGCAGGGCTGGGGGGGGGACAGGGCTGGGCATGGGGGGGGCTGTGGGGCGGGAGTGAGGGGCAGCGGCAGGGCTGGGGGGGCAGGGGGCTGCGGGTCAGGAGTGAGGGGCAGCGGCAGGGCTGGGGGGGCAGGGGGCTGTGGGTCAGGAGTGAGGGGCAGTGGCAGGGCTCAGGGGGCAGGGGGCTGCGGGGCAGGGGGTGAGGGGCAGCGGCAGGGCTCTGGGGGCTGCGGGTCAGGAGTGAGGGGCAGCGGGCTGCAGGGCAGGAGTGAGGGGGCAGGGGCAGCGGCAGGGCTGGGGGGCAGGGGGCTGTGGGGCGGGAGTGAGGGGGCAGCGGCAGGGCTGGGGGGGCAGGGGGCTGCGGGGCAGGGGGTGAGGGGCAGCGGCAGGGCTCTGGGGGCTGCGGGTCAGGAGTGAGGGGCAGCGGGCTGCGGGGCAGGAGTGAGGGGCAGGGGCAGCGGCAGGGCTGGGGGGCAGGGGGCTGCGGGGGTGGGAGTGAGGGGCAGCGGCAGGGCTGGGGGGGCAGGGGGCTGCGGGGCAGGAGTGAGGGGCAGGGGCAGCGGCAGGGCTGGGGGGGCAGGGGGCTGCGGGGCAGGAGTGAGGGGCAGGGGCAGCGGCAGGGCTGGGGGGGCAGGGGGCTGCGGGGGCGGGAGTGAGGGGCAGCGGCAGGGCTGGGGGGGCAGGGGGCTGTGGGGCGGGAGTGAGGGGCAGCGGCAGGGCTGGGGGGGCAGGGGGCTGCGGGTTGGGAGTGAGGGGGCAGCGGCAGGGCTGGGGGGGCAGGGGGCTGCGGGGCAGGGGGTGAGGGGGCAGCGGCAGGGCTGGGGGGGCAGGGGGCTGCGGGGCAGGGGGTGAGGGGCAGCGGCAGGGCTGGGGGGGCAGGGGGCTGCGGGGCAGGGGGTGAGGGGCAGCGGCAGGGCTCTGGGGGCTGTGGGTCAGGAGTGAGGGGCAGCGGGCTGCAGGGCAGGAGTGAGGGGGCAGGGGCAGCGGCAGGGCTGGGGGGGCAGGGGGCTGTGGGTCAGGAGTGAGGGGCAGTGGCAGGGCTCGGGGGGCAGGGGGCTGCGGGGCAGGGGGTGAGGGGCAGCGGCAGGGCTCTGGGGGCTGCGGGTCAGGAGTGAGGGGCAGCGGGCTGCGGGGCAGGAGTGAGGGGCAGGGGCAGCGGCAGGGCTGGGGGGCAGGGGGCTGCGGGGTGGGAGTGAGGGGCAGCGGCAGGGCTGGGGGGGCAGGGGGCTGCGGGGCAGGAGTGAGGGGCAGGGGCAGCGGCAGGGCTGGGGGGGCAGGGGGCTGCGGGGCAGGAGTGAGGGGCAGGGGCAGCGGCAGGGCTGGGGGGGCAGGGGGCTGCGGGGTGGGAGTGAGGGGCAGCGGCAGGGCTGGGGGGCAGGGGGCTGCGGGGTGGGAGTGAGGGGCAGCGGCAGGGCTGGGGGGCAGGGGGCTGCGGGGCAGGAGTGAGGGGCAGGGGCAGCGGCAGGGCTGGGGGGGCAGGGGGCTGCGGGGCAGGAGTGAGGGGGCAGGGGCAGCGGCAGGGCTGGGGGGCAGGGGGCTGCGGGGTGGGAGTGAGGGGCAGCGGCAGGGCTGGGGGGGCAGGGGGCTGCGGGGTGGGAGTGAGGGGCAGCGGCAGGGCTGGGGGGGCAGGGGGCTGCGGGGCAGGAGTGAGGGGCAGGGGCAGCGGCAGGGCTGGGGGGGCAGGGGGCTGCGGGGCGGGAGTGAGGGGCAGCGGCAGGGCTGGGGGGCAGGGGGCTGTGGGGGCGGGAGTGAGGGGCAGCGGCAGGGCTGGGGGGGCAGGGGGCTGCGGGTTGGGAGTGAGGGGCAGCGGCAGGGCTGGGGGGCAGGGGGCTGTGGGTCGGGAGTGAGGGGCAGTGGCAGGGCTCGGGGGGCAGGGGGCTGCGGGGCAGGGGGTGAGGGGGCAGCGGCAGGGCTGGGGGGGCAGGGGGCTGCGGGGCAGGGGGTGAGGGGGCAGCGGCAGGGCTGGGGGGGCAGGGGGCTGCGGGGTGGGAGTGAGGGGCATTGGCATGGCTGGTGGGGGCAGGATGCTGCGGGGCAGGAGTGAGGGGCAGGGGCAGCGGCAGGGCTGGGGGGGCAGGGGGCTGCGGGGCAGGAGTGAGGGGCAGGGGCAGCGGCAGGGCTGGGGGGCAGGGGGCTGCGGGGTGGGAGTGAGGGGCAGCGGCAGGGCTGGGGGGGCAGGGGGCTGCGGGGTGGGAGTGAGGGGCAGCGGCAGGGCTGGGGGGCAGGGGGCTGCGGGGCAGGAGTGAGGGGCAGGGGCAGCGGCAGGGCTGGGGGGGCAGGGGGCTGCGGGGCAGGAGTGAGGGGCAGGGGCAGCGGCAGGGCTGGGGGGGCAGGGGGCTGCGGGGTGGGAGTGAGGGGGCAGCGGCAGGGCTGGGGGGCAGGGGGCTGCGGGGTGGGAGTGAGGGGCAGCGGCAGGGCTGGGGGGGCAGGGGGCTGCGGGGCAGGAGTGAGGGGCAGGGGCAGCGGCAGGGCTGGGGGGGCAGGGGGCTGCGGGGTGGGAGTGAGGGGCAGCGGCAGGGCTGGGGGGGCAGGGGGCTGCGGGGTGGGAGTGAGGGGCAGCGGCAGGGCTGGGGGGGCAGGGGGCTGCGGGGCAGGAGTGTGGGGCATCATCTTCTCTCTCTCTCCTCCTCCGCTCTGGCTGTCACTCGCCCTTTGGCCCAGTCTCGCTCCTTGGACTCCTCCAACCCTGTAGGAAACCCCCACTGGCAGAGAAGGAACCCCGGCGTCCTGGCTCCCAGCCCGCGCTCTGAGCCCGCGGCGGAGGGATGCTGGGCTTGGCGAGTGTGGGGCTCTGTCTGGCCGGCTGAGCCCACGGGGGGCAGGGGGTTGTGGGCTGGGCTCGGCTGATGGCCCCGCTGCTGAGTCGGGGATTCATTGCCGGATCCAGCTGCCGGAAAACGCCAAGTCAGGCCCCCACATTGCACCACCCCGTCACGCGGGCCTGCATGGGGGGCTGGGACGGCAGGGGCTGCGGGTCGGGAGTGAGGGGCATGGCGGGCGGGTGGGGGGCAGGGCCAGGCCGGGAGGGGTCTGCGGGGTGGGAGTGAGGGGCATAGCAGGCGGGTGGGGGGCAGGCCCAGGCCGGGAGGGGTCTGCGGGTTGGGAGTGAGGGGCATGGTGGGTGGGTGGGGGGCAGGCCCAGGCCCGGAGGGGGCTGCGGGTCGGGAGGGAGGGGCATGGTGGGTGGGTGGGGGGCAGGACCAGGCCCGTAGGGGCCCGTGGGGGGCCGTGGGGTGGGAGTGAGGGGCATGGGGGGCGGGTGGGGGGCAGGGCCAGGCCAGTGGGGGGCTGCAAGGCAGGAGTGAGGGGCATGGCGGGGTGGTGGCGGGGGGCAGGGCCAGGCCAGGAGGGGGCTGCGGGGTGGGAGTGAAGGGCATGGGGGGCAGGTGGGGTGCACGGCCAGGCTGGGAGGGGGCTGCGGGGTGGGAGTGAGGGGCATGGGGGGGCGGGAGAGGGGCAGGGCCGGGCCCGTGGGGGGCTGTGGGGCGGGAGTGAGGGGGGTGGGGGGCAGGGCCAGGCCGGGAGGGGGCCGTGGGGCGAGAGTGAGGGGCATGGAGGGCGGGTGGGGGGCAGGACCAGGCCCGTGGGGGGCCGTGGGTCAGGAGTGAGGGGAATGGGGGCAGGTGTGTCTGGGCCCAGCTGGAGAGGGGCAGGAATCTCTGGCCTTGTCCCCGGCTGCCCCCGGCGCTCGGCCCAGCCCCCAGGGCCCAGCGCCAGGATGGGGGGGGACACCGGCCCCCCCCTCCCCCGGGCCGGGTCCAGCCGGGTTTATGAGTCTCCCAGTCACAACACGCCTGGGGAAAGATCAAGGCTGACGGGAAGTGGAGGAAAACAACAGGGAGGGGCGTGGGGCCCAGCGCCAGGGAGAGGACCCAGGAGTCCGGGCTCCTAGGGCCCCCTGCTCTGACCCACCGGCCCCTACTCCCCTCCCAGCGCCAGGGAGAGGACCCAGGAGTCCTGGCTCCCAGCCCCCATGCCCCGCTCTAACCACGAGCCGCCACTCCTCTCTGGGAGACAGGAAAGAACCCAGGCATCCGGGGTGCGCAGGGGGCTCTGGGGCGACTCAGGGGGTCTCACGCTCTCTTGTCCCCCCAGGTCTCCTGACGTTCGTTAATTGCGCCTACGTGAAATGGGGGACGCGGGTGCAGGACGTCTCCACCTACGCCAAGCTGCTGGCGCTGCTGGCCGTGATCGTCGCCGGCGTCGTGCGCCTGGCACAGGGTAGGGCAGCCGGTGCCCCCCGGCCCTGCCCCCGGGGCCCCTCGCCGGCCCTGCCCCCGGGGGCCCTCAGCCCCGCCCCGGGGCCCCTCGCCGGCCCTGTCCCCGGCGGCCCTCAGCCCCGCCCCGGGGCCCCTCGCCGGCCCTGCCCCCGGGGCCCCTCAGCCCCTGCTGGCCCTGCCCCCGGGGGCCCTCAGCCCCGGCCCACAGCCCCCGGCGCCCCTCACCCCCCGACCCACAGCCTGTGCCCCCCACAGCCCTGCCCGTGCCCCCCAGCCGGCCGACTCCCTGCCTCCCCCTGCAGGACACTCCGAGCACTTCGCTGACCCCTTCGCGGGCTCCTCGCTGGCCGTGGGGGACCTGGCCCTGGCCCTCTACTCGGCCCTCTTCTCCTACTCGGGCTGGGACACCCTCAACTTCGTCACTGAGGAGATCAAGGACCCCGAGAGGTGGGTGCTGCTCCCTGGGGGCCGGGCCTGCCCCACAGATCTGGCCCCGCTGAGCTGGGACCGGTCCCACCCCTGCAGCTTGCCCCATAGATCTGCCCCCGCTGAGCTGGTGCGTGACCCATCCTCAGCCTGCCCCATAGATCCCCCCTGCCACTACTGAGCTGGGACCTGACCTGTCCCCCAGCCTGTGGGGCAGGGGGTGCGGCCTGGAGCCATGGCGCCCCCACCCTGTGACTGGGGAGCAGAGGGGGGCTGCTCCAGGAAGAAGGGTCTTGGGCTTTCCCTTCGCATTGTTGCCCCACTTCATTTGCGGGGTGTTTAACTCCCCACCTAGCATGTTGGCCCCCAAGCTGCCTCGGGGGTTGGACCGGGGGCTCCTCATTGGGACGCCCCAGGGTCAGTGAGTTGCAAGGACTGAGGGGGTTGGGAGGTGAGTGCAGGGGGCCCGTGGGGAGTCCATGGGGGGCTGGTTTGGGAGGTTGGAGGGGGGTCTGTGCAGGAGTCGGGTTGGGAGGTGATGGGGAGGTGTGGGGGGGCCGGGGTGGGAGGGGAGTTGGGGGGCATGTTGGGAGCCGGGCTGGGAGGCGAGGGGGGGTTCATGGGGGGCAGGGACGGGAGGCGAGGGGGTACATGGGGGGCGGGAGGCGAGGGGGTTCGTGGGGGGCCAGGGAGGGAGGTGAGGGGTTCGTGGGGGCCGGGGCTGACCAGCTGCGAGGCTCCGGCTCTGACCCGGCTCCGGCCCCAGGAACCTGCCGCTGGCCATCGGGGTCTCCATGCCGGTGGTGACGGCCATTTACCTGCTGACCAACGTGGCCTATTACACGGTGCTGGCGCCCGGCGAGCTGCTGGCCAGCGACGCCGTGGCTGTGGTGAGTAGCGGGGGGCGGGGGGGCAGGGCGTGGGGGGACCCCCCCGGCCGGGCTCTCACCCCCCGTCTCCCCACAGAGCTTCGCCGACCGCGTCTTCGGCATCTTCAACTGGACCATCCCCCTGGCCGTGGCCCTGTCCTGCTTCGGGGGACTGAACGCCTCCATCCTCGCCGCCTCCAGGTGCCCCCCCGCCCCCCAGTTCCCCCACCCCGCAGCCCCCAGTGCCCCCTGCCTCCGGCCTGCAGCCCCCCAGTCCCCCCCGCCCCGCAGCTCCCGCCAGCCCCCGTCCCGCAGCCCCCAGTGCCCCCTGCCTCGGACCTGCAGCCCCCCCTGCCCCGCAGCCCCCACCAGTCCCCATCCCGCGGCCCCCAGTGCCCCCTGCCTCCGACCTGCAGCTCCCCAGTGCCCCCTGCCTCCGGCCTGCAGCCCCCCAGTCCCCCCCGCCCGCAGCTCCCGCCAGCCCCCATCCCGCAGCCCCCAGTGCCCCCTGCCTCCGACCTGCAGCCCCCCAGTGCCCCCCACGCCCCACAGCTCCCCCACCCCGCAGCCCCCAGTGCCCCCTGCCTCGGACCTGGAGCCCCCCTGCCCCGCAGCCCCCGCCAGTCCCTGTCCCGCGGCCCCCAGTGCCCCCTGCCTCCGACCTGCAGCCCCCCAGTGCCCCCACACCCCACAGCTCCCCCACCCCGCAGCCCCCGTCCCGCAGCCCCCAGGGCCCCCTGCCTCGGACCTGCAGCCCCCCAGTGCCCCCCGGCACCCCCTGCCCCCCACCCTGCAGCCCCTCTGTGCCCCCATCCCGCAGCCCCCAGTGCAGCCCCACAGTGCCCCCACCCCTGACCCGCAGCCCCTGGCATCCCCCTCCCGTGACCCCCAGGCCCTGAGTGCCCCCCACCCCCATGACCCCCAGCCCCTCTGCGCCGCGCCCCACCCCCCCTGACACTCTGCTCTGCCCCAGGCTGTTTTTCGTGGGCTCGCGGGAGGGGCACCTGCCCGACGCCCTCTGCATGATCCACGTGGAGCGATTCACCCCCGTGCCGGCCCTGCTCTTCAACGTGAGCCCCACACGCCGGGGGGGCGCGGGATGGACCATCCCCCGTGGGGGGGTATGGGATGGACCACGGCTGGGGCCACGGGCCAGACCGTTCCCCGTGGGGGGGTATGGGATGGACCACGGCTGGGGCCTCGGGATGGACCATTCCCCATGGGGGAGTATGGGATGGACCACGTCAGGAGCCACGGGATGGACCACTCCCCATGGGGAGGTATGGGATAGACCACAGCTGTGGCCACGGGCCAGACCATCCCCCAGGGTTTGCCATGGGACCGATCATACCCATGGGCCAGATCACGGCTAGGGGCAAGGGTGGGGGAAAGGGACAGACTACAGACCACGACGGGTTATGGGAGACACCACCCCACAAGGGCAGATTTCACACCCTGGAAGAGTCCAGTTTTCCTGGAGGCCCAGGGGTTGTGGAATGCAATGGGAAAGTCCATTTGCCTGAGCTAGTGGGGGCAGGAGTCAGGTCAGTCCATTCCCTCCACCACCCACGCTTGAGGGCATCCCTTGGGACAGTCCATCCATGCCCCTGATGGGGGGGGCACTATCCCACGGATCAGTCCATTGCCCTGTCTCTAAGGGGGGGGTGTTCCTGTGGGTCAGCCCATTACCCCAATGGGGAGGGTTGTCCCAAAGGTCAGTCCATGGCCCTGTCTTGGGAGGGGTGTGTCCCCCTTGGGTCAGTCCATCTCCCTGAGGGGGGTCTCCCCCTCTCCCAGGGGGCCATGGCTCTGGTCTATCTCTGCGTGGAGGACATCTTCCAGCTCATCAACTACTACAGCTTCAGCTACTGGTTCTTCGTGGGCCTGTCCATCGCCGGGCAGCTCTACCTGCGCTGGAAGGAGCCCGACAGGCCCCGCCCACTCAAGGTAAGGCCCCACCCCCTCCCACAATCCTCTGGGGGCAGTGTCTCCCCCTCTGACTCCCTGCCCATCCCACAATGCCTTGGGGCAGCGTCTCCCCCCATGGGCTCCCGTCTTGGCCCACCGTGCCCCGGGGCAGCCGCTCTCCCCTTGCCCCACCGTGCCCCGGGGCGGCCGCTCTCCCCTTGCCCCCCGGCCCCGCCGTGCCCCGGGGCGGCCGCTCTCCCCTTGCCCCGCCGTGCCCCGGGGCGGCCGCTCTCCCCTTGCCCCGCCGTGCCCCGGGGCGGCCGCTCTCCCCTTGCCCCGCCGTGCCCCGGGGCGGCTGCTCTCCCCTTGCCCCGCCGTGCCCCGGGGCGGCCGCTCTCCCCTTGCCCCCCGGCCCCGCCGTGCCCCGGGGCGGCCGCTCTCCCCTTGCCCCCCGGCCCCGCCGTGCCCCGGGGCGGCGGCTCTCCCCTTGCCCCCGGCCCCGCCGTGCCCCGGGGCGGCCGCTCTCCCCTTGCCCCGCCGTGCCCCGGGGCGGCCGCTCTCCCCTTGCCCCGCCGTGCCCCGGGCGGCCGCTCTCCCCTTGCCCCGCCGTGCCCCGGGCGGCCGCTCTCCCCTTGCCCCGCCGTGCCCCGGGCGGCCGCTCTCCCCTTGCCCCGCCGTGCCCCGGGGCGGCCGCTCTCCCCTTGCCCCGCCGTGCCCCGGGGCGGCCGCTCTCCCCTTGCCCCGCCGTGCCCCGGGGCGGCCGCTCTCCCCTTGCCCCGCCGTGCCCCGGGGCGGCCGCTCTCCCCTTGCCCCCCGGCCCCGCCGTGCCCCGGGGCGGCGGCTCTCCCCTTGCCCCCCGGCCCCGCCGTGCCCCGGGGCGGCCGCTCTCCCCTTGCCCCCCGGCCCCGCCGTGCCCCGGGGCGGCCGCTCTCCCCTTGCCCCCCGGCCCCGCCGTGCCCCGGGGCGGCGGCTCACCCCCTGGCTGTCTCCCCAGTTGAGCATCGTCTTCCCGCTGTTTTTCTGCCTGTGCACCGTGTTCCTGGTGGCCGTCCCGCTCTACACCGACCCCCTCAACTCGCTCATCGGCATCGGCATCGCGCTCTCAGGGCTGCCCGTCTACTTCCTGCTGGTGCGGAGCCCGGACACCCGCCGGCCCCGCTGGCTGCGGGCGGCCGTGGGTGAGTGAGACCCGCCGGTGCCCCCCGCTCCCAACCCACAACCCCCGGCCCCGCCGGCGCCCCTCGCTCCCGACCCGCAGCCCCCCTGGCACCCCCCGCGCCCGACCCGCAGCCCCCGCCAGCCCAGCCCGGAGCCCCTCACTCCTGACCCGCAGCCCCTGCTAGCCCAGCCTTGGACCCCCCCAGCCGTACTATGCCCCTCACTCCTGACCCACAGCCCCCACTAACTGTCCCGCTCTCTCTGCAGCCGGCGTCTCCCGCCACATCCAGCTGCTGTGCCGGGCCGTGGTGACGGAGCTGGACCCTGACGACAGTCGCCCCAAATCCCAGTGACGGAGCCAGTGGGGAAGGGGCACCTTCCCTCCCCCCAAGACCCACTCCTCTTTAATTTATTGGCCCCCTCGGCCCTGGTGTCGGGGCACCACCAGCCCCGCCCTTGCCTCGGAAGCAGCTGCTACCAATAAACCAGCATCACTCCAGTCACAGCCGGCTCCGGGTGTCATCTGTCCGCTCCCTGCCCTCCCCCAGAGAACCCCACCTCTCCCCCCGGAGATCCCCTTCCTCCTCCTCTGCCCCACCACTGGGTTCCCAGTTCCCCCCATGCACTGTGCTCCCTGCCTCTCTCCTGCCCCATAGCCCCTTCTGCCTCCTGTCCTCCAACCTGGGAATGAGCCCCTCAATCTCGCCCCCACGCTCCCCCCAACAAGACCTCAGTCCGCGCACTCCCCTGCCCCCCAGTAGTAGAGGGGTCTCCAACCCTACCCCCCACCTCCCAAGCAGAGTCCAATGGCACCAGCGGGTGGGTGATGAGTCCTTTATTGGCTCAGACCCACCCCCTGAGCAGAGTCCGGACTGGGGAGAGGTGGGTGCCCACTGGTGGCGGTTCTGAGGTCCTGGGGGTCCAGCGATGTCTGTGGGGCAGGTCTCAGCCCAGCGTGTCCTGCCAGGGCCTCTTTGGGCGGGGCTGGAGCTGGTGCTACTGGCCCCACCCTCCTTCTGCTGCAAGGGGTTGTGGGAGAAGGTCTGGCGCAGAGGTCCTAGGGGGAGAGATGGGGTGAGATGGGGTGGGGGGGACACCCCTCTGGGGCAGTGGCCCGAGCATGCAGGGGGGTCCCATAGTTGCAGGGGTTGGGGGGGGGCACAGACCTTTTGCGGCCAGGGCGAGGTGATTCTTGACCCGCCGCTCGCGCTCCTGCAGCTGCTGGGCCAGCTGGGCGTCCTTCCAGCCTGCGCGGGACGGGAGGGAGGGGTTAGCCCCCGCCTGTGCTGAGCCCTCCTCCCCCCGCCCCCCCCGGGTCACTCACCGGCCCGCAGGCTCTGGACAAAGCCCTGGCGCGCGGGCAGCAGGGCCGGGTCATGCTGGACGCGGTCGGGGATGCGGAGCCGGGCGCGGATGGCCGGGACCCGCAGGAGCCCGACCTGCGCCAGGGAGAACAGGTTGGATGTCAGCCAGTAGGTGAAGATGGCCTGGGGGAGATGGGGCAGTGTCAGGTGGGTGCCGGGGGGAGATCGGGGCCAGGCCCCCTCCCCCCAGCTGTCCTTCTCCCCCCCACGAGGCTCTCACCGTGGGGAAGCTGATGGTCAGCGGCAGGATCACCAGCGGCATCACCCGGAAAACCGTCTTCATCACCTTCAGGTTGGGGTTGTCCACCCCGGACTCCGCCCCCAGCTGCCGGGGGGGGGGACACATAGGGGGCAGGGTTAGAGACAGGCACCACCCCCAGAGATGCCCCCACCAAATGAAAAGCAACCCAACTGAGGCTCGTTTCCTGTAGGCCCTCTAGTATTCTTGTAACACCCCAGGCCAGAGCAGCCAACTGGCTCCTTGTTTCCTGTAGGCCCTACACTATTGCTGTCCTGCCCTGGCCAGCTGGGTACAGCCGCCAACTGGCCCTTTATTTATGATCCTTTCTAGCATATTACTGTAGGTCCTACGCGATCGTCATTCCTCTGCTGGCCAGCCAGGAGTGCGAGAGCAGAGCCCCGCCCTTCACCCCCCGCTTCCCTTCCCAGTGCGTTTACAGGAGCCCCACTGCTCTTTCTTTACTGTAGGTCCTATATTATTTTCATCCCTCTCCCAGGCAGCGGGGGCGCTCCAGCGTAATGAGCACAGTCCTGCCCTTCGCCCGTTTACAGCCAGCTCCTGGCTCCCTTGTTTCGTGTAGGTCCTACACTACCGCGCACCCCCCCCAGGCTCACCTCCAGGATAAGCCACATGGTCCCGGTGACGACGAGGGGCAGGACGTAGAGGGGGTCGGCTGCCGTCAGATCCACGAACCACGCCAGGCCGCCGCTCTGCATGCTGGGCACGGGCAGGGCGGCCATCTCCCGCAGTGCGATGAAAAACGAGATAAAGACGGGGGCCTGGAGCAGGGGCAGAGACGAGGGTCAGAGCCATGGAGAGATGGGGGGCTGTGGGTTGGGAGTAAGGGGCACCGGGAGGGCCAGGCTAGCAGGGGCTGCAAGTCGTGAGTGAGGGGCACTGGCGGGGCTGGGCTAGCAGGGGGCTGCGGGTCAGCAGTGAGGGGCAGGGCGGGGCCTTAGGCAGGGGGCGGAGCCTTACCTGGACGAGGGGCACCAGGAACCCCCGTACGGGGTTGACGTCGTGGGCCTTCTGGTACAGATTCAGTTCCGAATACAACTTGGAGACTGGGGGGAGGAAGGGGGAGTTAGGGGCTCGGCTCTGATCTCTCAGCCCTCCACAAACCCCCTAAGCTCCTCCCCCTCCCAATGTCTGCACTATCTCGGAGGCCCTTAGGCTTGACCCCAGGCGTCACCTTCCTGGCTCCCAAGCCCCGCCCTTGGCTCTAGACTCCACCCTTCAACCCTCAGGCTCCTCCCCCTCTTGCTGACTCCACCCACTTCCTGCCAAATTTCTACCCCCATCCCTTGTCTCCATCCCCCTTATCTCCCCACCCACCCCAGGTCCCTCCCCCTCCCTTGGCTCCGCCCCCAGCCCTCACACTCAAACTGGTTGCCGGAGCGCTTGGCGTCCTGCATGCGCTGTGTGAGCCGGGTGATCTCGGGCAGGTGGTTGTTCAGTTTGGCGGCCTCCCGCTGCCCCTTCACGATGAGCGGGAAGACCAGGCAGCGTGCCGCCACCGTGCCTAGAGAAGAGAGCGTTACCCACAATGCACCGGGCAGCGCGCCCCCACGTGCCTGGAGAAGAGAGCGTTACCCACAATGCACCGGGCAGCATGCCGCCACCGTGCCTGGAGAAGAGAGCGTTACCCACAATGCACCGGGCAGCGTGCCGCCACCGTGCCTGGAGAAGAGAGCGTTACCCACAATGCACCGGGCAGCGCGCCCCCACGTGCCTGGAGAAGAGAGCGTTACCCACAATGCACCGGGCAGCGTGCCGCCACCGTGCCTGGAGAAGAGAGCGTTACCCACAATGCACCGGGCAGCGCGCCCCCACGTGCCTGGAGAAGAGAGCGTTACCCACAATGCACCGGGCAGCGTGCCGCCACCGTGCCTGGAGAAGAGAGCGTTACCCACAATGCACCGGGCAGCGCGCCCCCATGTGCCTGGAGAAGAGAGCGTTACCCACAATGCACCGGGCAGCGTGCCGCCACCGTGCCTGGAGAAGAGAGCGTTACCCACAATGCACCGGGCAGCGTGCTGCCACCGTGCCTGGAGAAGAGAGCGTTACCCACAATGCACCGGGCAGCGCGCCCCCACGTGCCTGGAGAAGAGAGCGTTACCCACAAGGCAATGGGCAGCGCGCCGCCACGTGCCTGGAGAAGAGAGCGTTACCCACAATGCACCGGGCAGCGTGCCCCCACGTGCCTGGAGAAGAGAGCGTTACCCACAATGCACCGGGCAGCGCGCCCCCACGTGCCTGGAGAAGAGAGCGTTACCCACAATGCACCGGGCAGCGCGCCCCCACGTGCCTGGAGAAGAGAGCGTTACCCACAATGCACCGGGCAGCGTGCCCCCACGTGCCTGGAGAAGAGAGCGTTACCCACAATGCACCGGGCAGCGTGCCCCCACGTGCCTGGAGAAGAGAGCGTTACCCACAATGCACCGGGCAGCGTGCCCCCACGTGCCTGGAGAAGAGAGCGTTACCCACAAGGCAATGGGCAGACCTCCCCCGGGCCTGGTGGGGGAAGATAGGATTACCCACAATGCACTGCACAGGCTGCCCCCATACTTTGGGGGGGAGTGTTACCCACAGTGCGTTGTTGGTAGCTCTCTCCGGACCTGGGGGTGACGCCCAGCCCCCCGCTATCCCAGCATGCCCCTCACCGGCCACAATGGCGCCCCACCAGGGCAGCCCCAGGTCAGCGTGCAGGAACTCCAGCAGGTTCTGGATCAGCCCCACGGGCGTGTAGGAGCCGAGCCCCAGCTCTGCCAGCCCCAGCTCCGGCACCTCCGCCAGCTCCCCCCCGGGCACCGTGCCCCCCAGGGCTGGGGGCGGAGCAGCCGCGGGGGGCAGTACCTGGGGAGAGAAGACAATGAGACAGAGGCACCCCTCGCTCTCAACCCACAGCACCAGCCTGGCCCTGCCCCAAAAGTGCCCCTCACTCCCGACCCGCAGCCCCCTGCCAGCCCAGCCCTGCCCAGCCCTACCCCCCCACCCACCGATGCCCCTCACTCCCAACCCGCAGCCCCCTCCTAGCCCAGGCCTGCCCCCCCACCCACCGCTGCCCCTCACTCCTGACCCACAGCCCCCTGCCAGCCCAGCCCTGCCCCCCCATCCACCGCTGCCCCTCACTCCCGACCTGCAGCCCCCTGCCAGCCCAGCCCTACCCCTCACTCCCGACCCGCAGCACCCTGCCAGCCCAGCCCTGCCCCCCCATCCACCGCTGCCCCTCACTCCCGACCCGCAGCCCCCTGCCAACCCAGCCCTGCCCCTCACGCCCGACCCGCAGCCCCCTGCCAGCCCAGCCCTGCCCCTCACTCCCGACCCGCAGCCCCCTGCCAGCCCAGCCCTACCCCCCCACCCACCGATGCCCCTCACTCCCAACCCGCAGCCCCCTCCTAGCCCAGGCCTGCCCCCCCACCCACCGCTGCCCCTCACTCCTGACCCACAGCCCCCTGCCAGCCCAGCCCTGCCCCCCCCACCGATGCCCCTCACTCCCGACCCGCAGCCCCCCTGCCAGCCCAGCCCTGCCCCCCCCACCGATGCCCCTCACTCCCGACCCGCAGCCCCCTGCCAGCCCAGCCCTGCCCCCCCCCCCCACCGGTGCCCCTCACTCCCGACCCGCAGCCCCTCACCTGGGCCGCGCTGCTTTGGCACCGGGCCGGGGGCGGCCGCAGGGTGAGTCGGGGGCGCAGGGGAGCCCCACGCGGGGCGTTTCCATGGAGCCAGGCAGAGGGGGCTCCGCCCCTGTAGATCTGGGGGGAGAAAAGGGGGAAGGGGATCGGTGACCTTTGACCTCGTCATGCCAAGCATCAGGGCTCCCCCTGGTCACCTGTGAACCCCGAGGGGAGGGTCACGACCCCTGCTCCCCAGAGACCTTTGACCCCATGACCTTTGACCCCAGGCTGATCGCAGGTTAAGCCCCAAGGGGGCGTGTCTTTCCCTTTTCCGTGTCGTCACCAGCGGGGTCATGCCCGCGGACCCCTCGTGCTCCCCCACCTCAGAGGTCACGACCTTCGACCTCTACAGCACCGAGATGACAGCGGCGGCGGGTCCCAAGCCCCAGACCACGTGACCCCCGGGGTTCCCCCGCCCCGCTTCCCTAAGGTCATGACCGCTGTGACGTCACAGGGTGCCCCCGGATCCCACCTGCGTGTGGAGCCCCCTGAGGAGCGGGACGAGCTCCGGGGGTCCCAGCCGGCGCCAGCCCCGCCTCGCAGCCGCACAAGCCGCCATGTTCCCGGGGAGGAGCCGCCCCCCGCCGCGCGCCCGCCTTCTGAGCCAGCGCAGTGGTGCATGCGACGCCGTGGCGAAGCGAGCGCAGCCATGTTGTTTATGGGCACGCATCGCGTGTTGGTACAGCCAGGCGCCATCTTGAGTGCGGGCAGTATCCCCACCTCTGGATTATGGGCAGCGGCCATCTTCGATGGTGGCAACAACCCGGCAACGCGTACGCGTGGGCGTGGGCGCCGTCCTGGCTGGCGGCGTCCGTCCGCGGCGTGTGTCAGCCATATTGAATGAGGGCAGCGTCCCAGTGTTCTGAAGAGGCAACCATGATGAGAAAGGGCTGGCGCGCGTGCGTGTTCGGAAGGCGGCCATGTTAGCTGAAGGCATGGTCACATGATTTGTTACCAAAGGCGGCCATATCGAGAAAGGGCAACGCCTCCATTGACCGGATGTCCGCCGGCAGCCATAGTGAATGTGGCAAAGCGTGGCTAAGAGCAGGGGTGGCGGCCATTTTGAGTGTGGTCTGCCCTGCGCAGATGTGCCTTTGAGTGCATGGTGGCAGCCATATTTAATTTTGGCAAAGGACTCTTGGGGCCATTTTAGGTGAGGGCAAGGGGGCCCCCTCGCCGGCCACCGGTCTGAGGGCGCCCTGGAGGCAGCCATATTGGATGTGTCCCCAAAATGTGACCTCAGACTTATACCGGTCTTAAAGGGACCGGCCCCGCGGCCCCCCCCCCGGCAGCCATTAGCCCCCTCCCCCTTCCCAGGGCCGGGGAGAGAACCCAGGAGTCCGGGCTCCCAGGCTGAGACTCCGCCCTCGTTCCCCTGCACATCCGCCCATGTGACCGATGCCACCGCGTGCCCGCAATGCCCCCTGCCACGCCCGCTGGCCAGCCGGACCCTCCCGGCACCGGAGACTCCGGGACACACTCTGGACGCCGGGGACTGGCACAGTCTCACCCCAGGCGGGGGCACGTCCACCGCCCCGGCCGCTCGGCCGCGGGCCCCAGACCGGCGAGTCCCCAACAAAAACCTTCAGCAACCCGCTCCGGCCAGAGACGGCTGAACGGGAATTAATTTGCAAGCTGGATACAATTAACTTAGGCTTGAACAGAGACAGGGAGTGGATGGGTCATTACACAAAGTAAAACTATTTCCCCTTGTTTATTCCCCCCCCCCCCGTTCCCTCTTCCTCAGGTGTTCTTGTCAACTGCTGGAAATGGCCCGCCTTGATTATCACTACAAAAGCCCCCCCCGCCCCCGGCTGGTAATAGCTCACCTGACCTGGTCACTCTGGTTACAGTGTGTAGGGTAACACCCGTTAGAATCACAGAATCCTAGAACCCGGGGTGGGAAGCGACCTCAGGAGGTTCTAGTCCAACCCCCTGCTCAAAGCAGGACCGATCCCCAACTAAATCATCCCAGCCAGGGCTCTGTCAAGCCTGACCTTAAAAATATCCAAGGAAGGAGATTCCACCCCCTCCCTAGGTAACGCTCTCCAGTGCTTCACCACCCTCCTCGTGAAAAAGTTTTTCCTAATATCCAATCTAAACCTCCCCCACTGCAACTTGAGACCATTACTCCTCGTTCTGTCATCTGCTACCACTGAGAGCAGTCCAGAGCCATCCTCTATGGAACCACCTCTCAGGTAGTTGAAAGCAGCTACCAAATCCCACCTCAGTGCTGCATCCAGTGGCTGGGGTATCTGAGAGGAAGCATGGGCTAGTGGTTAGGGGCTGGCACTTACCCAAGACAGGGCTCAATTCCCTGCTCCTGCCACAGATTCCCTATGCCTCAGCTAGATGGAGATAAGAACCCTGCAGGGGGGCATCAGGCCTGGGAGCTGCTCCAGTGCTGGGAGGCACCTGGTCCCACCAGCGTCTCTCCTCACGTTTCCAGTCCTGCCAGTGTGTGAAGCCTCACCAGTCCTGTGAGCTTGGGAGAACAGGAACCCAGGACTTTCAGCCACCAATGAGATTCGCAGGCTAAGGCCTGGGCCCGAGTAGACCAGGGGAGACGTCTCCTAAAGGTCTAAAACCAAAAGAGGGAAGCAGCACCATTGTTTCATGTTCTGTGTGTATATAAATCTCCCCACTGTATTTTCCACTGTCTGCATCCAATGAAGTGAGCTGTAGCTCAAGAAAGCTTATGCTCAAATAGTCTCTAAGGTGCCACAAGTCCCCCTGTTCTTTCTGCGGATACAGACGAACACGGCTGCTGCTCTGAGAGCTAATGACAGAGTCTCAGGTGAGTCTGGGACCCTTGGGAATAAAATGCTGCAGGGGCCGGAGCGGCCTCCGTCTGAGGGCAGAGGATACGGTGCCAGACTGCTCAGCGGGCAGAAGACACGGCAGAGGGCTGTAAACCTGAGGCAGAGACAGTGACTAGGGCCGTTCATATAACACAAGAACCAGGGGTCGCTCGATGAACTGAACAAATGTAGAGAAGTATTTCTTCCTCCGCCACATGGTTAACCTGTGGAACTCACTGCCAGGGGATCATGTGAGACCAAAAGGGTTTTGACACACAATGAGCCATGTTCCTGGGTCCAGCGATGGCTATTGGCCAAGTCGGGGATAGACCACAAGACTCCTGGCTCCCAGCTCCTCCTCTAACCACCAGCCCCCACTTCCCTCCCAGAGCCAGGGAGAGAATCCAGGCGTCCTGGCTCCCAGGCTCAGACTCCGCCCCCAAGGTGTTTTTGTGATTCACACCGATGGGCCAGGCAGTGGCTGGGGAAGTGAAAGCAGCTAATTAAAGAGCCCCGGGGGACGCCGGGTGTATTGAAGAGGCCTGTGGTTTGAGTGGGTGCAATGGGAGAAATGGCCACATGGCGGCAGCAGAGTTGAGGCAGCTCCAGTGTCCTGAACTGACTCTGCCTCCCCTTCCCAACCCAAGAACCCAGGAGTCCGGGCTCCTACCCCCCTGCCCCATACAGCCCACTCCCCTCCCCGAGCCAGGGAGAGAACCCAGGCGTCCGGGCTCCTTCTACATCCCTCAAAAGTCAGTGTTGATAAATGCAAAGTAACGTACAATGGGAAAAAATAACCCCCCTCTACAGACACAATGATGGGGGCTAAATTAGCTGCTGCGACGCGAGAGATCTCGGAGCCACCGTTCATTCCCGGCAAACAGCCGCTCGCTGCCCAGCCGCCCTCGGAAAAGCTCCCGGCGCGTTAGGAGAGAGAACGAGACAGGAAACCCCAGTGCCCACCCCTGGCATCCCAGTGCCCACCCCTGGCATCCCGCACACACAGATCCAGGGCACTGGGAGAAAGGCCAGAACCAGGCTGCGGGGGCTGGAGTGGGCTCTGTGCGAGGAGAAATGACAAAGTTGGGGCCTGCTCAGGAGGGAGAAGGGGCCACCATGGGGCCACGGCAGAGGGCCGGGGTGGAGAGTGTGACAAGGGCCTTGTTATTTGCTCCTTCACATAACACGAGAATTAGGGGTCACCCAATGAAAGGAAGAGGTGGCAGCTTTAAAACAAACCTAGGCAAGTATTTCTTCCCATGGCGCCAAGTTAACCTGTGGAACTCACTGCCAGGGGATGGGCTGAGGCCAGAAGTAGAAGGGGTTTGACACACAGTGAGTCACGTTCCTGGAGGCTGGGTCCAGTGATGGCTATTGGCCAAGGTGGCCAGGGATGCAGCCCCCTGCGCCAGGTGGCTCCAGAGCTCGGGCTGCCAGGAGCTGGGACTGGGTGACAGGGGACGGGTCACTTGGTGATTCCCTGTTCTGTTCATCCCCTCTGGGGCACCTGGCACTGGCCACTGTCAGCAGACAGGAGACGGCGGGGGAGGGGGGGGGCTGTGTGGGGCCCCAGAGTCTGGGAGGCAGGAGCTGTGGGGGGCCACTTTGGGGGCCCCACAGGCCCAGGGGATTAGCAGGGGGCCGGGAGCAGCCCACTCTGCTTTCCTCACCCCGGCCCCAACCGTGTTGCCTGGGTCAGGGGGCTTGGGGGAGAGATCCCTCCTCCTGCCACCCACTCACCGCTGGGAAGCGGAGCGGCCCGGCCCCAGTGGAGCAGGGGGAAGGGGAAGAGGTGGAGCCGAGGGAGTTGTCTGGGGCCCCACACCACCTAGGGATGGCCCTGCCCCTTGCAGTGGGTACAGCCCACGGGACGGGGCTGGCTGGGGGACGGGGCTGGTCACCGGGGCTGGTCCTGCCGTGTATGGAGCATGCAGTTGCCTAGGGCACCGTGACATTTGGTGCCCCAAATCTCATGGTGCCCTACGCAGCTGCGTATGCCTAGGGACGGCCCTGTTGACACAGTCTGGCCGTTCTCATGTTCCCTTCCCAAAGATGGGGATAGACCGCAGGACTCCTGGCTCCCAGCCCCTCCTCTAACCAGCAGAGCCCGCTCCCCTCCCAGAGCCAGGGAGAGAACCCCGGAGTCCGGGCTCCCAGGCTCAGACCCCGCCCCCGAGGTGTTTTTGTGATTCACACCGATGGGCCAGGCAGTGGCTGGGGAAGTGAAAACAGCTAATTAAAGAGCCCCCGGGGGACGCCGGGTGTATTAAAGAGGCCTGAGGTTTGAGAGGGTGCAATGGGAGAAATGGCCAGTAGGCGGCAGCCTGTCCTGAACTGACTCTGCCTCCCCTTCCCAACCCAAGAACCCAGGAGTCCGGGCTCCTACCCCCTGCCCCATACAGCCCACTCCCCTCCCCGAGCCAGGGAGAGAATCCAGGCGTCCGGGCTCCTCCTACGTCCCTCAAAAGTCAGTGTTGATAAATGCAAAGTAACGTACAATGGGAAAAAATACCCCCCCTCTACAGACACAATGATGGGGGCTAAATTAGCTGCTGCCACGCGAGAGATCTCAGAGCCACCGTTCATTCCCGGCAAACAGACGCTCGCCGTGCAGCCGCCCTTGGAAGCTCCCGGCGCGTTAGGAGAGCGAACGAGACAGGAAACCCCAGTACTGACCCCTGGCATCCCAGTGCCCACCCCTGGCATCCCGGACGCACAGATCCGGGGCAGTGGGAGAAAGGCCAGAACCAGGCTGTGGGGGCTGGAGCGGGCTCCGTGAGAGGAGAGATGGCAAAGCCGGGGCCTG